GGCTGTAGAACCAATGCTTAAACAAATCAAAAGCAACGCAAATTCAAACAAATACATTTATTTCGGGATATGCGAAACTGCTCCAAACACGATCATGGAAGATTCCCTATTGACCCCGAAAAACGATAGCTATCAAGGTCAAACCCCGGGAACATGTTAGGCACACTCTGCGAATGACACACGCTTTTTCGCCACGCAAAGTGTCCCTCACATAGCAAGGAAAGCGCTTGAGTCCCATCAAATCAAACAAACAACAAACAGGGCAGCTGGTGTGAGAGGGCTGATGTGTTGGGGCCGAATCCAATGTCCGAGTCATGGTTGAAGTCAGAATCACGGTTTTGACGTAGTCGCCATGTGACCGACAAATAGCCAACATGGAAGTGCTCTGCTGGCAAACATATCTTGATTAGGGGGGAGGACAAAAAGGGCGCGCCATGGATGGGCTCCCCCCCCGTTTCAAAGCCCAAGTCATTTGGCTGTAGGTCAAAAGTAGGGTAACCCCAAAAATGGCTTACCAGCTGCTAAACGGAAACATGGACAAAACTTTGCGGTCATTTCATTTTGACTCATCATTTGGCTCCCTCAACATCCTAGGAGATATTTGAGCGCGGGGAGCTTGCAGGATCGGACGATCAGACCCCCCGGGTTTTCTGGCGCACAGAAGCAACAGCCAGCCAAGGGGGAAAGGGTTTTGGACATGAGACAAGGGGTGCAAAGGACCCCCCTGTAGAGGACGTGATTCGTCTTTGCTGGCACTCATGGTAATTCTAGATCTTCCATGTTAGTCTGCGGAAGTGTGATGAGTTCTGAATTGCTGGCAAATGGGCATGCATACTGTATCTGTGTGTGTGTGTGCTTTCTCTGGGAAGACAGTTGCTCGTTTTTCAAGAAGCCCCATACTAGCTGGCCCACCCAGACATCAGTCACAATCCTGCCACTTCTGTGTTGAGGTTGTGTGTTTGTTTGGCGGGGTGTTGGCGCGCTCTTGAAAGAAGTGAGGGGGGATGGGGGATTGCTACAAGTTCCATGTTGGTGGGTTGCTGGGACCGCTTTCAGGTTCTATTCTGGGTCAAAGCGCACGCTTTTACTCACATGTTGATTTTCCTTTACATGGAAGTGCAGGCTTCAAGCATGTTCCCTGCAAAATCTAGGCTTTTTCCCGGATTGTAGTGGCGAGGGGCAAGTTACAAGACTTCTATGTTCGGAGCAAGTTGCAAAATCCCCGTGAAAGGAGGTGACAATTTTCGGAGGGACCTCTTAGCATAGGGGCTTCCAAGTTAATTCCAGAGAGAGAGAGAGAGAGAGAGAGAGAGCATCGTAACACTGACCCATCTCATTGAAGTACCACACTGCGGATTTCTTGCCGCTCATCTCTCTTCGCTTTGTCGTCGCTTTGTTAAGCCGTCTTCCCTAAAACCCGCCAACCGCCCACGGCCCACGCATCGAACTCGACATCGAGCGTCGCGTCGCCTCCATGGACTCCGCGTCCGTGGCGAAGCCCACGCCCCCGGGGCCCGGGGAGCCTTTCTGCATGGTGTCCATCAAATTCACCTCGCGGTTCCATCGAGGGCTCAGAGGCACCAAGGAAAGAACAGCCTGTTGCTTGCTGGTTGAGCCATCTGCGCCCGTGCTTTCTGTCCTTCGGTGCTTGTATGTGCGCGATTGGGCCGCCAGGTTGCGTGTTCTGCGTACGCCTGTTTTGCTCAGCGGGGAACAAACAGGACTCTTGAGGTGCGGTTGCATGGCGCATGGGGTTCGTCCTAGTCACAGCGATGGTATCGTTGCAGCCAACAAACATCGTAAATCGACGCCATAACAGCATGACAGCATGATGGCGCGTCAAATTTGATGTTGCCCGGCAAGGTCGAAACGTGTGTTTTCTGTTTGAAACGGAACGTGGCCAGTACCCAGTAGCAGAAATGGCTGTTCGTGATTTTCTCATGTGCATCCTAGTATCCCGCTAGGAGCGCGCAGTCGCTGATCCTGCACATCCTACCGCAAGTTTTGTGATACGAGGTCCGAAAAGGAATAATGCCTGGCAAAACAGCCCAGCCACTCCTCATGATCTACTAGCTGCTAGCTGCTTCTGGTATCCTCCTCTCATCGTCATTGCTATAGAGCAAAGCAGACTTAACAGCAGGGGCTGGAAATCGCTCCACACGTTCGCGGCAGAAGCCGCTTAGCTTCTGCTCCAATTGAGGTTGTGCTTTCACTATGTCCAATGGTCAGAACGTTATGCCGGGATGAGCCCAAGCACCTTGGTATTCTCCAAGTTCTTTTCATTGAAGGTGTCGATATCGCTGACACCTCCCAGGCAACTGCTGACAAGTCAAACATTCTCCAGTCATAGTCGTGGGCTGAAAATGATGCTTCTTCCTGGGATTGGTTTTCATTGGCAAACCAGTGATTGATTGAAGGGCACTGTTAAGCTTGCCACACCTAGTTTAATTCTATCACAGCCGTATGGCTTGGCCGACGAAATCTGCGAAACGATGGGAGGGGGTCCCCTATCGGTCTTCCAATCTGTCCATCATTCCACGGATTGAGCGTCCAACCGCATACTACCGAAGACTACCACTCACCGCCCGTATGAGTGCATCAGTGCATGTAGCAGAAGTCCGCCAATGCCAGTCGAGCGCGTAGATGGCAGGAAGCAAAGTGACTTCTCGTGTGACACATCGTGTGTTAGATGAGGTGACTGCGGGGAAATCTGCTTTCAATCCCCGCCATCACACCCAAGCAGCCAGCTGCTAGCCGACCCATCGAGCCTTGGACCTCCACAAAGATGGGCAGTATGTAACCCTTTGACACAGGCATGAAGTCGCCGCCGACGTCCACTACAGCACGGATGCCTGACCGGATGAGACTCTGACATGTTGGTGCAGCCCCTACCAAAATAAAGGCTATCTCAGATAAACATTGCAGAGCTAGGGCTGGAAGCACGTGAGCCCGACTTGCCCGAGCCTGCGTTTGACAGGTTGTCGACCATGGTCTTCTGAAAGGTGCCCAGAAAAGGGCCTATCATCTTTGTAGTCCTGAGTCTCAGGTTGGATGCTGCCCATCCCATGCTCCGTTCTTTGTCCATACATCTGCGCCCAAAAGAAAGAAGGCAGCTGACAAGCAGTACATGTTCATCAAGCAGAGTGCCTGCCTTGCTTGGCTGGCACAATGTGGCAGAAGCGGTGATCCTCATCTGTATAAACATCCAATTCTAGTCATTCAGTTGTGAGAAGTGCAACATGCAAAGCGTGGAGCACCCAGATTCTGAGAGCGCTTCATACAAGCCAATATACCCTCGGGATTGTTTCATGGAACCCTACAAAGGGCTCCCCAGAAAATGAACTTTCCTCTACATCACGGGTCTTGGGTATCGGGTTCCAACCTGCTTTGGCTTAGGATCATCCAGCTGGAGTAGCCAATCTCCAGCTGCACCCCCAGCTTGCCACCCCGCTGGTAGGGCTGCTGCGTGGCATCCCTGCACCGAAGAAACCCATAGCGAAGTCGCGGGCAAAACGACACTTTGTGTGCGCCAGAAATGTTTGGGGCTCCTTATGGTCACGGTTGGCCTTGGGGGGCACAGAGTCCCACTCGAACCGTTCTGTATTTAACAGCCCCCACACAAATAGGACTGCATGCATTAGGCTGGCGGTGGCAACGAAGCTACCAAAATATGCTCTCGGTGCAATTGGGGCACCACTGCAGCAGCTGCTCGGTAGTGCTCGCAACCTGGCCAGCATTCGGGCACGTTTTGCCACCCTAGCGCTGTCACTTGACAAATGCTTTCGAAATTGTTCAACCTTTGTGAAGGCCATTCTTCCTTTAAACTCCACAGCCTGAATATGTGAGCTGGGGAATGCAATGCAGTTGACCCAACCAAAGGGCCCAGTTGCCCGATGCGGGCACCCGCGTTTCACCTTGTCCTCCTTTGAAAGCAGCTCGCAAGGAGTTGGCTCCTGCCTGCTTGTAATCCAGCCGCTCCCGCAAGGCGAAGACCAGCGGGAGTAGTAGCAGCAGCGCCTAGCAGCTCAAGGGGGTTGCCAACACGTGTCTTTCATGGAAACCCAAACAAAGAAGAACAACTTTGTGGGTATTCGGAACAAGGAAGGTTGGCTTGAACGTATTTCATCCACTAGTTTCCATTGATTGCCCATAGGAGCCACGGCACGCAATGTCCAGCCAAGCCTCAGCCAGCCTTTCCCCAAGCTCAATCCCAGCCAAGCGCAGCCAGGCTTGCACCGCCGTGCATAAGCCAGCTGGGCAGCGAGCCCGTGCAGGCCTCCCTGCGGCCCTATGAGCCCTCCCCCAGTCCTCGTTGGCCAGCCCCGCCGCTCGAGTAATCAGACTGCTCAGCCCAGCCCCGGCATCGTTCTCAAGCCCGCATTGCTCTTGCGGTTCTTATAAGCCTGGCCGAGGCGGACAGCACACAGCATTTACAGCTAGTTGAACTGTGGTTCTTCGATTCCTCGATTCCTCGATTCCTCGATTCTTCGGTTCTTCGATTCCTCGATTCCTCGATTCTTTGATTCTTCGATTCCTCGACTCCTTGATTCTTCAATTCCTCGATTCTTCAATTCTTCCATTCTTCGATTCTTCGATTCTTCGATTCTTCGATTCTTCGATTCTTCGATTCTTCGATTCTTCGATTCTTCCATTCCTCGATTCTTTGATTCTTCGATTCCTCGACTCCTTGATTCTTCAATTCCTCGATTCTTCAATTCTTCCATTCTTCGATTCTTCGATTCTTCGATTCTTCGATTCTTCGATTCTTCCATTCCTCGATTCTTTGATTCCTCGATTCCTCGACTCCTTGATTCTTCGATTCCTGGATTCTTCGATTCTTCCATTCTTCGATTCCTCGGTTCTTCGATTCTTCGATTCTTCCATTCCTCGATTCTTAGATTCCTCGATTCCTCGACTCCTCGACTCCTTGATTTTTCGATTCTTCGATTCTTCGCCTGTTTCTGCCGGGGCCCTTGTCAAGCCTACACTCATGTACATATATATATATATATACATATATAGGAATGATGTTGTAGCGTGGCTCTTGTGGGGCTCTGCGCTTCCGCAAATCTATACTGACCATCGAGCTGGTTAGTACTCCGGGCTCATCGCTCTCGGTGGATTTAAGCCCTCCTGTCTATGAAAAAGTGAGAAGCGGCAAGCACATCTGGCTGCGGCAGTGTCAGGATCCAAAAGCACCCCAGAAAACCCAGCCCTTCCAACAAAACGCTCAAAACACACTCATGGACACTTGTTCCAGCCATGGTCCTTGTCGTGAGCACGGACGGGCCTGCTTCGTCTGCGTGAAGCGCATGATGTAAAAGGTTTCTCAAACAGCGGAAAGCTCTTGAGCCAAAAGGCGCAAACGCTGCCTTGGTGCCAATGCCTTTGGAGCTGCAACCTTGAAAAATACTGTTCGTTCAACTGGAAGCTTGACTTTTTGGTGCAGTTTGACCTGAGCACCTGCCGGTGCAATCCTTGGTTCACCAAGGGGAGAGGGGGAAGCCTTCGACAGAGCTGGAATGCTGGCCGCGAGCCTCCAGGAAAATCCATAAAAAACACCTCAACAAGAATGCGATTATTCCAAACCACCTTCATGTGGTCAATTTCATTGGTGATCCTAGTAACTATGTCTTCATGCGACACCAAAACCTTCGGATCTCCGCAGATCTCTGTAGCTCTAAGGCTCTAGCTCTGCCTCGCCTGTCAGACTCGAGCGAAAGACCCTTGGCACCCATGCAAACTGTGTTTCTGTACGTAAGTCTGTGTATCTGTGCATTTTGTTAATGGATTGATTAATGTCTGTTCTTATTTGTTTATGTGTTTGTTTGACTAATTGGCTTAACTTGTTTCTTTATTTGCTTATTTGAATAGTGATTGCTTGAGCTAGGTTTTTTGAAATCACGGTGTTGATTGATTTTTATTGACTCTTGTTTATACCGTTGAATTATTCAATGACTACTGTGTACTAGTTTGCCGCTACTTATTAGGTTTTCAATTATGTGATTAGTTGTGGTAATTGTGTATTTGTGTGCGCGTGTGTGTGTGTATGTATGTATGTATGTATGTATGTACGTACGTACGTACGTACGTGCGTATGTATGTATGTATGTATGTATGTATGTATGGATGGATGGATGGATGGATGGATGGATGGATGGATGGATGGATGGATGGATGTATGCATGGAGGCAGGCAGGCAGGCAGGCAGGCAGGCAGGCAGGCAGGCAGGCAGGCAGGTATGTGTTCATTGTTTACCGTTTTGTCTATGTATTCAGTTATTTAGTTAGGTGTGGCTCAAAACTAAAGAACTAGTGTTACGCAGCTTTTAGTCTTCGGTTTTATTTACCAAGGTGCCATTTTGGTACCTGTTTTTGAGCCACAGAAAGTTAGACAATGTATGTATTAATTTACATGTGTATGCATTTATACACATGTATTTTCAGACGCTCGCTGATGCGAACGTATGTATACACATACATGAAATAGATGCATAATAGCGAGAGGGAGCGGGAATTGTACCATCTTTTCGTTACATGTATACTAGACATATACATATACATATATATGGTGTATACACAAATATATCTATACATATACACATATGGGAGTTATCCAATATTGCGTTTCCTCAAAAACCCTCCAATCGCCGGCCTTTCACGCTCCAATCGCGACCACTGCAGGGCCAACTTTGAAATACACTGTGCGTTTCCAACACGGGGTCACCCAAACAATCTGATGTTCACCCAAATCCGCCATCCTCCGCCATCCTTTCGCAATGCAGGTGCTACAAAAAAGCGCACAACCAGTTACCCAAATACCTAAAATGGAAGACATGACTTGCAGACGGCTCCCATATGCGCATGCTGAGACTAAGGTGGTCCGAAACTGCTGGGCTTCAAGGCAACATGCCGACGGGCCGACCTTCTCGCACATCATCGGGCCTCAAGCCCCGCATGCCTCTCCCCGTGCCCAAAAGGTCATGCACCTTGCAAGTGGCACTCCCTCGGTATATGACAAATTAAAGATCTAGGGTTACGCTGATTTTAGTCTTTGCTTCCATTTGCCAAGGTGCCCTTTTGGTACATTCATTTGAGCCACAGCCATATCTGAGCTCTAAGGCTTGCACTGGTTGTCTTGCTCCATTGGCTCGTGGGGAGAATTTTGGTCCTTTGAATCGCTGTATGCTCTGTGCCACTTTGCAGATGCGGGGTCCTGTTTTGGAAGGCCCTGCCAAAGTGAAAGCCGTGCGGTGGGCATTGCAAGTCCAGCTTACCCCAGAACAACTATCACCTGGCCTTGCCGGGTGCTGACAAGCATGCTGTAGAGTCTCTCTTTACATCTCCTTCACCATGCTTCATGTTCGTTATCTCCATGTTCCGTTTTCTTGCTGCACTACGCTGAGAACCATCGTCAAGTGCATGCGCAACGTTGCGGGCTGTGAAACCGTCGACTCCTTGAAGCTTATCATTCATTAGGTGATGTGTTTATCAAAAGTCTGCCAAAGCAAACTGGGACAGTAGAAGCATTGACCAAAGTCTGGAACGAATTGCCACATTGCAAATCAGCGCATCTGCCACCGGTTCCCTGCAGCTGGTCCTTTTTTAGCACTGCATGACTATTTGGATCTATGTCTGAATTAGTAAGGCTGCACCGAATTCATCACAGGAGCCTTCGAGACTTCCAAAAGTTCGTGCGTCGCTGGGTTGGAATCCCAGTGTAATGCGCCTGTCCATGGCTCCCCTCAAGCACCACGGACCCCAGGGTGCGGATACTCGACACAGGAGCAAATTGCCTGTGCGTGGCGGGGGACGGGGCCGTGGGTTTCAAGGCATCCCACAAAGTCCAGCGTCCCTGTGAACTGAACAAAGTGCTGGAGGTCCCAACTAGTTCTCCGTCTGAAAGTGCCTTTCGGGCAATTCCAACGGTCACAGAACACCCGAATTTGGCGGTCGCCTTCACTCCTGACTCTGTGAGACTGGAGTGGATTGATAGACAAAGATGGCGCAACAAGCAGCACACCTGACTTTGGTGGCACTTTTGAATGAAAAGATAAGTGCTGGACTGGCTCATTGTTTGATACGGAGTGCGGAAATGGTATCAATGGAATTGGAATGATTGACCATAGAAGGGATTCCACATGTCATGATAACATTAATTGCCACGCCACAACAGCAAAGAAGACTGCCAAAACGTACATTGAAGCAAACAGATCAAGCCTCATTTTGGGGGTTCTCAAAACGGCGGACCCCTTTTTGGAGGGTTCTAAAGGGAAACCAAAAGGAAACAAGCCATAAAACGGGTCCGGAAATTTTGAGAAACACCCCTGTTCAAGCGCAGCTGGTGGTAGATATGTCGACGCTGAAATGGAAAGGATTGGATTTCTTGTGATTCAACTTGTCGGTACCCGACCTTCGGCGGGCCTTCACCGCGCAGCCCTCAGCGCGGTAAGGCAGCGTTGCACCGCCGCCAAGCGGCCCTCCACCTGAATCTGAGAAGCTGGAACACTTGATGCGATAGGGGAATGAGAAATAGAATGACCAATAGAAACCATCCAACTTGTTTCCCACATTCCCTCAGCACCAAGAATCTTCGGGACTCCGAAATGGTCAAGCTTCACTCAAAGGCGAAAGAACCACCACTGCATGGAACATGAACATGGCGATGCAACAATTAAAACAAACATCGCAAAATCTACATGTAAATGAGCTTGAGCAGCACCAGCGCAATGTCTCTGCCAGCCTATATGTATTCAAACCCGAAATCCAAAAAAACACGAAGGATGCTACCGTTGCAAAGTCTTGTAGCTTAGAAAGCGGATTTATATCTCATATTGCACAGCTGGTGGCCAGTCCAATCCGCGAGACACTGCTTGCACTCCAGATAAAATCTAGTAAATAAGCTTCGTCATATTTTGAAAAGCAACCAGTGCGCGTCGATTTCGAACAACGGAACACTTCCTCACTCGAAGAAGACAGGCTTCACTCAGCTTTGATTGGGTTGGGTACGTCAGGCCCGCTTCTGACTGAGCTTGTGCAAGGCCAAGCGCCAAAGTTTTCCTCCAGAGAAGAAGTTCACATCTAGTTTTCGGTAACACCTTAGCAAGCTGACTGTAGCTCATATCTATCGCAACTTCCAATAATATCCATGTCCCGACTTTGCATTTATCCTTCGACCTACTGCAACCTCCATCCATGGCACAAAATGGACGGCCCGCTTGAGACGTTGCAACACCCCTTTTTTTCCAGGCAAAGCCGCCTGTGAGGCAACCTCCTGGAGCTCTGTGTGCCTGTCCTGGCGAAAGCTGTTTGATACGTACCTTTGGTGCGTGCGCCTAAAAGGTGCGCGCGTGCGATTGACACAGTTTCAAAAGGAACACACAAAGGTTGCCTGTGTGAAATAAAGATGACCTTCTGTTGCATCCAGTGACTTGATGCTTTTGTTTCGCCCAAATTCCAAAACACGAAACAACCGCAAAGCACACACTAGGCAATGCAACCCCCGGAGCACGTGCCAAGGAAAGCAACGACAATGCGATGATAAGGTATCGTGCCAAGGGCTCAAGCAGCAACCAGGCTGCATATGACGGATAGTCATACACGCCACTGACTAGTAACAAATATATTGCATACCAACCCAACATAAGTTTGACACTTTCAACAAGAACAATGTAACTGCTCAGATGTCCATCATCGCACCTCTAACACTCGCCGCTGCTCTGCGTTGAAGTCGATACCATTCATAGCCTGCACCAGCATGACCCGTAAGAACACGATAGAGCACAGGGGGGGGCTCATCTGTCTCCCTCAACCAGCTGAAAAGTGCCTTAAAACAACGGGATGGCACTTCTACCCCTAACCACGCATTGACCAACCCTGTCTAAACCTCCACTCACAGGTCATCCCTTAGCACTGGCAACTTTGGCCCATGACTTACCGGTGTGGCTAGCTTTCTGGCATATGTGCCGGACATTGCCTATGGTTTAGCGCTTTCTGGCGGGTTCTGTCGGGTGTTCAGGTCACAGACATGGGCCAACCGGGCGCGTAGCCAACTGAGAAGCCTTCCAAGCAAACCCAAGCAACTGACACATGCTCTGGGGATTTCATTGGGGTGCTATCATTCGCTGAAAGAAAGCTACCCGCTGTGAGGCGCCGAACTGTTCCAGGGTTCAACCCTGGCCAGGCATAGGCACAAACAGCTCCTTCTGCACGGTTGGGCTTTGCTTGCGTGAACAGCACACATGTCAAGCCTTAAACAAACAAAAAAAACTTGTCTTGATCGATGCAACACATTCTGCCCAGACTGTGGACGCCCACGAAAGTCTTACACAGACCCATGGATGAGGCAGTACAAAAAACTGGTAGCAGACTTTGCACCTGCGAATTGGTTTTCAATTGGTTTGCTTGTTTCCTAAAGGGGAACCGCAAAAATGGGTGATTTCCCGTGCGTTCCCTTCACCCCCGAAAAGAGGTACCAAGACACCCCCAGGTTTATGGCGTCCCATCGGCCGGTACGTCCATCGGCCATCTGCCTCGTCGACCTGTCTCCGGCACAAGGTGGCCAAGGAGGCATCGGCAAAGGCATAGGCTTGGGTTGCCAAGATGCCTCGCAAGGCATATGCCCGGAGACAGCGTGACAGCATCAAGAAGCTTGCACATGGAATCACAATGTCTCCTTTGGATCTGCATTCGGAATAACACTTGATATTGTTTGAAACCCATACAGGTACGCCCAGTATGCATGTTTCTGTGAAACTTGCAAGCTCTACATGCAATTGTTGGGTGGGACCACATATCCTGACTTGCCCTATCAAAACACTGAATTCCAATTTAGGCAGGCCAAACTGTCCAATAGAACAAACACATTGGCAAGCGAATTGCGAATTTGTCCTCTCAAAGGCACAACCCTCCTGCAACATGCTGGTTTGCCGCACAAGCGGGCACTTCGAACGGCAACTACCGTGACGGCACGGAATGGCAAAAAATCTTATAATACCTCCCAAAACTATGGTCGATGTCTGCCGTATCTATTATATCTATTGTATCTATTGTATCTATCTATCTATCTATCTATCTATCGATCTATCTATCTAACATATCTATATTACCTATCTTATCTGTCTGTCTGTCTGTCTGTCTGTCTATCCATCCATCCATCCATCCATCCATCCTTCCATCCATCCATCCATCCATCCATCCATCCATCCATCCATCCATCCATCCATCCATCCATCCATCCATCCATCCATCCATCCATCCATCCATCCATCCATCCATCCATCTATATCTGTCTGTCTGTCTGTATATATGTATCATCATCATCATCATCATCATCATCATCATCATCATCATCATCATCATCATCATCATCATCATCATCATCATCATCATCATCATCATCATCATCATCATCATCATCATCATCATCATCATCATCATCATCATCATCATCATCATCATCATCATCATCATCATCATCATCATCATCATCATCATCATCATCATCATCATCATCATCATCATCATCATCATCATCATCATCATCATCATCATCATCATCATCATCATCATCATCATCATCATCATCATCATCATCATCATCATCATCATCATCATCATCATCATCATCATCATCATCACGCCTGCATCTGCCGCTTACTGCGATCCTCCCCCCTCTCACGTTCTGGCAAACAAAGCTTTGTTGCATATCGATGTAATCACTCCCATTGAATGCAGCTAGACACCTCGTCATGTGCGACACTCAGGGTCTTCCAAGACTTCGTGAAGATGTTGCCAATTGGGCTCCTGCCCCTCCTTGCCCAGCAAGGGGAAACCCCCCTCAAAAACAAAAACCAGGCGCAAACAAATCCAAGGGGAGGAGGTTGACCACATTCGGAATCCCAAGCCCACGGCTTTCAAACCAAGAGGGAAAAACAAAATCCAAGCGCGCCCTCGACATCCGGGGACCTGCCAGCACGTTGAAGGCCCGCTGCAGCTTCAGGGCCACCAAGGGTGCCGCGGACTTCACGTCTTTGGGGTCGAAGACCCGGTCCTCAGGGAGGCCCATGGGACTTGGAATGAATCTAGCCCTTGGTTTGGTGGGTTTTCAAGGCAAACCAAAAGGAAAACCCGTTGCGCCATTTTGGGGGCAAACTTTTTCAGAAGACACCCATATTAGGGTGGATCAATCTTCGGCAGAATGACCAAACTTGTTCCATGTGAAAGTCGTCCCAAAGAGGCGGTGTCCTACTGGTCACACCGTGTAAAGGTGCAAGGAATGAGTCGTGACAAAATGCTTTGGTCATGGCCAACAAGGACAGGGCGATCGAGCATTGGGAGTCGGGAACAGTAACTACGGCTTCCCACAGCCCGAAAAAGGACGCTACCAGAGTGGGATGGAAAGAAGAATCCTGAAGATGTTCCAAGAAAGAAGTTTCGGGCGTTCAATGGCACGTCTGATTCGGCAGCTAGCCGTGATTCCCCTTGGCCAAAACAGCTTTCGCCATACAGGGATTGAGCGACAGGTATTCAGGCTCCCATCAAAAAACGAATGAACCTACTTAGGGCCCAAAAATGCCCCCACCGGAAGACTCTAGCGCGGTGTCGTGTTCACTGGCGGTGACCGTGGCCTGCAGCTTGGGCGGCAGCCCCCCAGAAGGCCCGCTGCGGCGCCGCATCTCCACCAGCACGCGGCCCTTGGCCTCGGGCTGCGCTGGCGACCCTCCAGCGGGATATGTCCCCATCCAAAGCCAAGTCAGGCAGCTACCCATGCTACCTGACAAACATGTCGCCATGTAGCAATATGCGCAGATAGTGACATTGAGGCTACGCAGCTTGTGCCTTGCGTCACAACCGCGCATTGCAATGTTGTCGAGGGGCTTCGTGTTGCATGATGACCCGTACAGTAAATGTATGCAGGGAGGTAATTATCACACAACTATAAGGCTACAGGTTTACAACTGAAAGAGTCGACTTAGCATTGAAAGCGGTTCGCAAATAAGTTTGCGTGCATAATTAAACAAAACGCAAAGACCCCTTTAAACGCTACCCTTTGAAGATCTAGCAAATTTGACACCCGCCTCCCAGACCTGTTTGTTTTTGAAGTTTCGCAGATCGTAGAGCAAAGAATGCAAAGGCCGAACAAACAACTGCAAAATGCAATCTCCTACGCCATTTGTCCAACCAACATAGTGGTTTATTTGAGCCCCAACTCCTTGAGAATAGCTGAATGCTGGCAGCCACGCATTGAACCAAATTCTCCAATGCTGGGCTGCGGTGTGTCTTTGCTCTCTGTTGATTCCAACACATCTCCTTCAACCTGACTGTTCTTGGACATCATGATAGCCTTGATTGAAAGCGCACACCACACGTCATTTTTGGACACTACTGCATGGGGCAATAGTTATCGCTGTTGTTTTCTTTGCCTTGGTGACTGGTCATGCTCCACGCGCTCGCTCCCTGCGTCTTCGGTTAATCCTGAGTTTCATGCGTGATCGATTTTGTTCACAGGGACTTGCTGTTGCCGCTTTTGGGCCTGATGCCCCCCCCCCGACAAACCAGCTTCGCCCACAGAGGCCCCGTGCGAACTTGAGTGAGTGAGTGAGTTGCTTTTGAAAAGGCTTTCAAGAAATACACTGGTTGATGGCTCAACAAACAAGTTTGTCGGGAATTATTCCTGCTCTTTCAGTAACATGTGCTACAGATTGAGCCCGCCTTTCGTCTACTCAATATACAAGCCACTGTTGTCACACCATCAGCTCAAGGAGCCTGTCAAGCCACCAGCGTCGGAGTCAACACGCAACCTGGCATACAACGCTATTTGCGCAGAGACAGGTCAATTCACACCCGTCTTGCACACAGTCGCGCGCGGCCGATCACCTGAACCCGATTTGGCTACGTTGACGTTGTCAGCGCGTACAACCCTTGGTAACGCATCTGAGATTTGCCTTGGCACATCCGAGTTCATGTGTTCGCGAGACCCATCTGTTCGATGTAGTACACGCGCTTCACCGTCTGATGCGCTTTCCGACGCCGGCATGCCAGCTTGCCATTGATTTCAAGCACTACAGCGCAAGCGCAAGCTCCTGGTCTTCAGAAGCCTGCAGAGCCCTGGACGTAGGACACAGCACTCACGCAAGGGATCATCCACTGACCCGTGATCAAAGCCAGCGTCTGGCAACCAAGCGTCGCCCAGAGTCAGCGCGCGCAAGTCACCCCAACTTGACCGAAACGGCTCCGCTTCTTCGGGTCTGGCAGGCACTTCTGGCGCCAACTCAGTCAAACCCCAGTGACCGAAGGATCAAAGAGAAGCGACGAATCCGAAGGATCGCATGCCTCATGGCACGGATGGCGGTGGATGTTTGCCACGCATGGATAAGACGCCCCCAAGAGCAGCGTCCTCCCAATGGCCACGGCCACCAAGCCACCCCTCCACCAAAAGAACATGGCGTTAATATCACAAAGGCTAGAAATCAGTCAAATAGAGTCAAGCATCACATGGTTTGTAGGTGGGCCTCACAAATATACATGTACACATACGCAAACGGCATTCTCACCTGAGGGTGCGCAATTGACCGCTTGAAGCTGTTTGATTCAAAGGCATCTGCTAGGGTTGCTTCAAGTGTAGGCTGGCAGGAGAACGGCAAACAACTGCAGAGTCGAGCAGCAGCAGAAACAACAGAAAACTACGCCAATACATTGTCTTAGACAGCGACTGAACGGTAATATGAGGAAGCACTTCACGATTGGTTGATCTGTTGGATCTTGAGCTTCGGACCCTCTGAGGTTCTTCGAATGTCAGCAATTCATAGATCATAGCTTCACATGAAAGCTGGCTTCTGCCAGGTCATATTTGCATTTAGCGCCAGAATGACCTGCCGCCCGAAACTCGAATTTGGCGTCGCCCCCGCGGCCTCGCTTCGGGACAGCGCGCCGCGCTTGGCTGCCGGCTCCGCCGGCTCCGGCGCTGTCAACTCCTGGGCCTACGCTGAAGTGACCACGGGCGGCTTTCTATTCGTCTATTCTTCGATCACACGGATTTCTTTGATTTGGGTCGAACCAACATCTCAATGAATAGGTGAGGGAACAGTCGCGAGTCAGAATCCGTGCGCGGTTTCGGGCTTCTTGACTGCAGGTTCTCGGGGCACTCTCAGAAGCTCAAAAGCTTCCAATGCAGCTGCCAACTGGCCTCCGGCTTCTTGATCAGGCTGCTCAAGTCCAGCTCAGGTTCCGTGCGCGGCCTAACAAGGCGCAAACTGAGCGACGTGACGCGTCCCATGTTCGGCGACCTCAGATCTTGTGAAGTTCATTTGAAAGAGGTGCACATCCCCCGTACAAAGAACGACTAAACGCTACAGTCTGGAGGGGTGCCTACGCAGTCATCCCCATGATCCCAAGGCTGGCAAGGGATCAACGGGCATCTGACCCGAGCTCGCACACAGATTCCAGCCTCAGCATGATCTCCGGGTTGACGCATGCCGCCGTGAGTGTGCCAGTGAGATTCTTCATCAGCTGTTCGCCTGTAGGGACGGCTCTGTAAAGTACTCGCAAGTCGCATTCCTCACCTGGAACTAGTCAAAGACTTCACGCATGCTTCGCCAACACATGTTTAAGAAGGGAGAACAAAACGCACCGAGGTTTGCCTCACAAAATGCAGGGAATTTAGAAGACGCGCCTACTGCGGAGACAGCATCATCATAGGCGCTAAAGACCAGGTCTCGCACCACCGGGGAGGAGCGCATCACAGCCAAGTGCTGCGTAAACAGCGGCGAGTAGATCCTGCAGCTTGTCGCGACTGAACCAATCTGCCCACAGTTTCTAACCGATGACTCCATCGAATTCCTTTTCAACCATCCTCCTTTTCAGAAACCAATCGCCATTTTTGTCCATGTCCAGAACCTTTTCCAGCTGGAAATGGGGAAGGAACCCCATTTCCAACGGGGACATTCCGATCACAAAGGCTCCCTGATTCCATCGAGCTCCTTTTCAACCATCCTCCTTTTCACAAGCCAAGCGCCATTTTTCCCCACGTCCGGAGGCTTTCCAAGAGCCCAAGGGTCCCCAGTGGGCAGCCGATTCCGAATCGGCCTGGCACCGGGGCCCTCGGCCAAGAAGGACATCCACTGGGCCACCGCCAGCTTCTGGTGCCGCAGCAACCAAATCACCTGAGGTGCTCCAAATCGGACTTCCCATCGATTCAAATCCACTCCTTATCAAGAAATCGCTCTCTTTTTGTTCGGGCCAATCTCAAACCCCCAAACAATCGCTTCCCCCATAGTGATTCAAATCCAGCCCTTATTTATCAAGAAATAGCTTTTTTCAGGCCAAAATCCCAAAAGTCACATCGCCCACGTTACTTCACCAATACCAAACTAACTGACAGCCGGTATTGGGGGGGTGGCCAAAATCCCAAAAGTCACATCGCCCACGTTACTTCACCAATACCAAACTAACTGACAGCCGGTATTGGGGGGTTACTTTCAGCACTTTGCTTCTTTCAGTTGTAAACTCAAATTATAAATTGGAGGTCTAATTTCGCGTCAAAATTCGATTGACAAGTGCCTTGAGCAGTTTCATGTCCATTCCCTTCTCGGCGGATTACGATTTTGACGGTTATTGCGCCTGGCAAAGAAGGGCCCCATTTGGACGAGGGCCGTAGTGGAAAATCCCTGGGACCTTATTAATAAATATGTTTCCGCAAAAACAAAAAGAGAGTATTGACAGCGGGGGGGAGTAATAGGGCAGGGCTTACGCGTCCTGTCCTCACATGGACTAGCTCTTCACCACCGATTCTGTTGTCAGATTGGTCGTGGCCCTTGAGACGCCTTCCCAAGCACGCAGCGCCGCCTCCTTTCGCTTGCGACGCGAGCGGTCAAAGCTTGCGCTTACTTACACTCCCTCGGCGGTGGCAAAGTTAGGGATTTTAGGGACCCACTCCAAAACAAAATGGTAGCTTTCCTTCTAATGTCCCTTTCAAAGTAGGCCAAAAAGAGCGGCGCCCTCAAAAATGGCAGACCCAGGTATGAAGCCATTAAGGGGTTACCCTGTTGACAACCACACCCATATTTTGACTGCAAACGTTGCAAACCTGCGCCCACCGACCTCGCTGCCTCGCTGCCGAGGGCCGAGGTGCCCGGGCGGCGACATAGCGTAGGCGCCGCATCAAGGGCTCAAAGGCGATGGTGAGCATCAGCTTGGAGGCGACGTCCTGGGCGGAAAAAGTGGGCACACGTGTGCAAGGGGCGGGCGGTACATATGCATATCGATCCCTCTCTCACTTTGTATATATATATATGGACACGTCGTCGTCGTCGTCCTTTAAGACATAAGTCGTCGTAGTCCATCATTACTTAATAATTGTCGTCGTTCATACTTAAGTCATTAATTAATCATTAATCATTAACTCCTTCATTGAAGTCGTCGTCGTCGTCGTCGTCGACTTCTCTTAAGTCGTCGTCGTTCATTAATTAATGGCCGTCGTCATTCGTCGTCGTCGTCCTTGGCGTCGTTTAATTAATGATGATGATGTTATTAATGAGTCAAGGAATTAATGACTTGACGACTTTTAAGGACGTCAATGGAAGTAATGACTAATTAAGGACGACGTCATGAAGTTAATTAAGGAGGAAGGGCCTGTCCATGGCCTTAATTGACGTCGTCGTCAATTGGTGAAGATTATTTAGAAGGTGAAGTATTAGATATAAAAGATTTTAATGAAAATAATATTGTATATTTATTCAAAAATAATGATAATATTTACGGTTTTTATATTAATAAAAAAAAATAAAACTAAATTTATTAAATCTCATGAAGAATATTACTTACACAAGTGTTCATAATAATCTGACTTATGATATTTTTATCTATATGATCATTATTATTTAATATCATTTTTATTTTAATAGTTTCATTATCTTTAATAATTTTATCTACATTACCATTAGTATATTGTTCTATTAATTGTTCTTTTGATAATTTTTCAAGTTGTAATTTAAATAATTCTTTTTTATCTTTAAATTTTTCCGTTTTTAAATGTTCTTTATGATGTGATAATTGATCTGAAATATGATTGGTAATATTACATTTGTATCGATATTTAACCATATTATATGTTATAATATACTATTATATATTTAAATATATAATCATATTTTAACTTTTTTTATGGTATTATTTGCTTTTAAAATACTGAATTTTTATTATCTTCATTATATTTTTCAATTTCTTTTGTTGATTTATTAATAATTATAAATGTATTTTTCATATGTCTCTTATTTCTTTATTTGATTTAATACAACCATTATTAAGTAAATATTTTACTGGAACATTATTGTATAAATAACATTCATAAATATTATTTTGACTTATTAAATAATCATAAATGTTTTGGAGATTTTTCATACCGTGATTTATGTTATAATGTACATATACTACCGCAAATACATATAAATTGTTGTGAATACTTTTCTTGATATTCTTTTATATATTGTCTCCTTTTTTTCTTTATTTTCTTTCAGATATTCTTTGTTTTTTTCTTGGTATCAATTCTTCAATTTTTTCCATAATAGTCTTTCTTATAATTTGTTATTTTTTCAATATTTTGTCCTTGATATTTTTTATATTGTCTTTATTTTTTTCATAATATTCTTCTGATATTTCTTCTATTATTTCTTTACTTTTTCCTCGGTATTCTTGTCTTTCTGCTATTATTTCTTTATTTTGTTTTTGATACTCTGTTGATTTTTCTTTTATTTTTAATTTATTAATCTGATAATATTTTTTTATAAAATCAATTCATATTGTCCTCTAATAAATTCTCCTGTTGCATATTGTTCGTCTCTTTTTATTAAATCTTTTGTATATCCTACTTTGATTACATTTTCATAAGAATTATGATATCTACAATAGATGTTTGACATTTTTAATTTATTAAATAATAATATTATTTTTAAGAAATTTTTCTATCATTTTTTATTCGTAAATATTATTTAAAAAATTACCAATATATTTTTCATTTTCTTCACAAAAATTATTGTAATTATTTTCATTTATTATTTTACATTCTTTATCATGTTTAATAATATTATCATAAGTTTCGTAATTTGGAATTATATCGTCAAAAAACTTTAAAATTTTATTTTTATCAGATTTTCTATTTTCTTTTATATGTTTATAGCCTCTTAAACTATTTAATTTCTCTGGAATAGGAATAACATTACCTAATCTTTCAATATCAATATTATTATTTTGTTGACTAAACGGAAATATATGTTCAATCCAAAATTCATTTTTCAATTCTTCTATTGGAATTTTATTTCTAAAATAATAATACCATAATATTTTTCATAGAAATTCCTATTTCTTCTTGTTTCTGTTCTTTTCTTTTTTCTTTACCAAATATTATTATCAATTAAAAAATTATTTATTAAATCTATAAATGTTTCTTTATTGACTTTAATGTGAATATTTTCTGGATTTTCATATAAATTGTTTAAAATATTATCAAAATTATTTGTTGTTGATAAAATATCATTTAATTTATTTTTTCTATTCTTTATTTTTAATATCAATAATGAAATAATGAAATAATATACTTTTTTGTAATGATTTTTTAATATATTCTTCACTTTTATTATTGTTTAAAAATCCAATAATAGAGATTATTATTATTACAACATTATTAACGGTAAAATGATTTAATTTATTATTACAATATACAAATGTTTTTTTATTTCCTTCTAATTTACTATCAAAAATAATACTTGAAATACTATTTAATATTTTAATAACTTTATTTATTTTATTAATAAAATCATTAATATGTTTGGTAGTAGTTGTTTCTTCATTTAATTTTTTATATATACAACGATAAACTTTAAAAAATAATGCATTATCATCTTTCACTTTTTCTTCTTTAATTTCTTCTGTATTATATTCATCTTGTTCATCATCATTTACATTTTCTTTTATTTTTACTTCTTTGTCAACTTTATGTATTATATTACATATTGTATTACAATAATTTTGAAATCCAATTATAAAATCATAAGCGTTCATTAATTCATCCGTATTATATTCATAACAACTCATCACTTCTCTTATATTCCTATTTTCATAATATAACTTGAGATTATTTTTAATATCTATTAATAATTTATTATCATTAATTTTAAATTTATCTAATTCAAATAATTTACAATTTAATAATTCAGTTTCTGTTAATTTATTAATATAAGCATTAATTGAGCCAAATATTTTACATAAATCGTCTATTGTATAATTTTCAAAAATATTTATATTAATATTAACGATTAAATCAAATCTATCTTCGTGGTTATTTACAAAAACAATATTTTTTAACTAGATATTAAATCTTCAAATTTATCTCTATATTCAAAAGAAGATAAAAAAGTATTATATAAATTTTCATTATATTTTTTAAAAAAAACTTTCTATAATCAAAAGTTATTATTTCACTATAACTTGTTTTTTAAATTTTTATTTATTTCATTTTTATTTTCTTTACATTTTTGAACAATAAAATTAAATATTTCTTATATTTATCTGAAAATATATCATAAGGTTTATTTATAAATGAACTAATGCAAGACAAACGATTATTACCATCAATAATATTATATTTATTAGTTTCATTAATTTTACCTAATGTTATTGGATCTACGCTATTACATGTTTCATACAAAAAATTAATGTATGCTTTATAATTTGGTATATTTTGTTTATTGTCATTTGCATTGATTTGCCATTTTTTTCTTGATTGAAATTTTGGTTTAATAAAATTATCTATATTATCCATAACTTTTTTTACCGACCATTTCTCATTATTAACAGATTTAGTCATTTTTAATAATATTATAAATATTTATTTATAATATTATTTATTTTCATTTTTATTTTAATAATTATCTAATTCTTTTGAAATAACATACAGCATTGATTTATAACAACTGAAAAGGTACATTAAAATTTGTTTTTGGGCTTTTCTATAAACTCTACAAAAAGATAATTTATATAAATTATATTAGTATAATAAAAAAATATTATAGCAATTATTTTTTACGGCCAGGCAATGAATAATATGCCAAACAAGTCATAATATCACGTCCTTCGGTACAAACGCTGAATGTGTATCATTGGTCTATTGCAAATTCAATAGTTTCCAATGTGGGAGAGGGACGTTTAAAAGTGAAGGCATCAAACGGTATTTTTTCACAGTCCATATTGGCAATTCGATATCGATGTCATCCGGAATTCTGTCTCTGTCTACATCCAAAAAAGGCAGTGGAATAGAACTGATTGGTGGGGCTGTGAACACATTCCATGTAACTGTCATATTACAGTCTGTGGTTGAAACAAAATTTGAACTCTGAGCAGAATTCTGTTCGTCTGAGATCTCCGAGTTCTCCGAGTTCTCCGCGTTCTTTAACAATGGAATATCTGACTCATCCAAAAGTTTCTTGAACACCACACCGACATCTATATCCTCAGAAAACTTCCATTGAAGTTTTTTTATGTTTAATAATCGCACGTGTATCTTGAGCCAAAATGGCTACGGTAAAGATATTTTATTATCGAAATAAATATGAAGTTATTTTTTTCATTTTTTATATATATTATACTCAAGTATCATGAACGATCACCAGAATATTGTCACATTAATATTTCTGTAGTGAGTCATAAGTCCGAACGGACGCTAGAACAAATATAATAATAAAAATATTTATTACAATTTATTTTTTAACAATATTTCATAATGTTGTTGAAAAAACCGGAATTGACGTCCTTACTCCTATCGGGCCATATCCTATCGTCGTTACACTGATACATCGCCTTTAAGAAGTGGTCGTGGCTCGTGTTGTGCTCGTATGTGATTATAAAAAATAATCACTTTGCGCATGCCCAACATGTTGGTCGCCCTGTCGCCATGCTCAATGCTCTTGACAACTCCTCCATGCTCACCTCCACATCTCTCAGTGCTATTGTCATGTCTGCTATGCTCACCGTCACATCACTCGATACTCTTGACAAGTTCGCCGAGCTCACCTCCATATTTCTCAATGCTTTTGACAAGCCCGTCGTGCACACCTCCGGATCTCTCATTGCTCCTGACGTGCCCGTCGCGTTTACTCTGTATGCCACATTCGTTGTCCGGTCTGCCGGATCCGATATGTGCACGAGAGTATCAGGGTGTGGCATTAGGAATTTCGTCGCCCCGATCCAATTGCTGGGATCGTTGTAGCACGTGCGTCTGTTGCTCACGTAGTATGCGGAGTTGTCGATTGAACGATAGTACAGCACATTGTTCATGGACTCGACCACATATTGATAACACCTCGTCCAGTCTTGCCAACCGGTGGTGCTATCCATAGTCACAAGCCACCAAACAAATGCACGTACATGAGGCGCCACCATAGCAAGTACCCAGTGCGCTTCACACGAGGGCGTAGAGCACCCTGCGGGAATCCATCTACGCGCAGTGTAATAATCCTCCATGGTCTCGCGAGACAATAGAAAATCAGACTGCAGAAATTCACAGGTGTATCTTGAGCCAAAATGGCTACGGTAATAGTTTTTGTTTAATGGATAAAACATGTAATAAAATTATCATTTTTTAGTAATATATAATTATAATATAATACATCACTTTTAAAAAAGATATAATATATTATTTTAATATTTTTGTTTTATGTTTTGATAAAACTAAAATAATGTATTGGAGTTCTTCAACGATGCAAACATCTGACTCATTTATAAGCTTCTAGAACACTTCATGAGTGTCTATCACTACAACAATTGTCTCTATAATGGTTTTTATTTTTAACTGGTGTACTTGTAGAACTTGTACCAAAATCGTCATAGTAAAAAATATTATAATATACACATGTTTCTTAATAATTTAACATTTTCATTATATTTATAATTGGATAAATAAATATAATTATTATTTCATTAATAAAATGTATTTGATAAAAGAAATATTTGAAGAAATACAAAAATGAACATTTACGAAAATTCATATTTAATAACTTAATAAAATTCATATTTATGAAAAATCTATTTGTAATTATGTAAATTAAAAAAATATTTATAATGATATATGTAATAAAAATTTATCAAAATCATCAATTCGTAATATTATAAAGTAGAATCATAAAATTATATTTAGAATATTACCCATTTGCCACGGGGTTTTGCCTTGTTAGGCAACGTCATCTTCGGCAAGTACTGCTATATAACCTTTCTTCTCCGCGCAGGGCGGACAAAGAATAACGAGGCTTTCTCCGCGGTACTCTGGATTTTCCACGTATTGCAACGGGGTATTACCACAGTCCTCGCAAACGAAGTTCTCGTTGTGTTCAAAATACAACGTCATAGGCTCGCCAACTTCAGCCTCTTCATTTGCTTCTTGTGGCACATCGTCCCAGTCATTGGCAGCAATGACAACTTCGTACCCTCTGTTCAATGCACATGATGGGCACAGAGCAACGTTGCTGTTTCTGGGGCATTCCGGATCATCTGCACATAGCTTTGGAATGTCGTTGCAGTCCACGCAAAAGTGGCATTCATTGCGTTGGAAATACAATGTTGTCATGTCAAGGAACGGTTTTCTAACTTTCTCAGAAAGCTTCTTGAGCCAAAATGGCTACGGTAAAAGTTAAAAGAGAGCATCTGGTAAATCTTTTTTAACTAGTATGTATAGGTATGTATATGTGTGCATACACATATATATATACATACATATATATATATATATGTCTTCCTTTATATGTCTTTGGATATTTCGGACTGGCAACCTTGACAGATATTCTCCCTCGGCGTGTCAGTAGATGTGTCCACGAACGGAATATGTCAATCCCCTCAGAAGCAAAGGCCTGGCTCATTCAGCCCCCGTGCACCTCCCAGCGCTGATGCCCATGGACACCAGTGCCTGGACTGAATGGCAGCTGAACCCATAGATGCATGGGACGCCGTATCTTTCCGGCGACTGTCCTGAAGCCCCATCTGGCCTCCCGCACAAATCGCGGCCAAGGAGATGTTCTTGATGGACTCCTCATCGGCCACAGAACTCAATAAAATGCATTGGCGCTTTGGTTGCTGAGCCAAAAGCAAAAAATGAAGCTTCCGCCTGTCCTGGCACACCGAGTGCACAAGAAACAAGTCCCGCATTCATGGCCCAGAAACAACAAACAATCCGCCTCTGCAAAAAGTGAGAAATTAACCAAAAAAACCAACAACAAAAGGAAGAAGTGCGTGTTTCAGTGCTCCTTTTGTTCCTTTTGTTCCTCTTGTTCCTCTTGTTCCTTTTGTTTGTTCATGGCCCAACAAACAAAACAAAGCTTTGAAGCAGACACCGCCGGCTCGCCTCAGGGGGGCGTGCCAAGCGCATGGCCACCTCGATCTCCGCCAGCAGGCGGCGCCAGGCGGCGCCCCCGTTGAGCGCCACGTCGGCGCCGGGGATCCTCAGAGCACCAGGAGAGCCGAGCGCCGCGGTCGTTTTTTTCCGCGTCTACGGGTCTTTTCGTTGGCTTTGCTGGTGTCAGTTGTGTTGTGGTTGTATTTTTTAGTTGGTTCTGAAAACTTTTTAGTGGTGTCGGTTGCTTTGTATTTTGGTTGCTTCTGTTTGCGTTTGTTTTTTTCACTCGGCTCAATCCCATACACTTCGATGTTTCTTGCGGAAGCTGGTGCGATCTTCAAAATGTCCCGGTGGCGGGGGCTTGAAAACGAGTGGCGAGAGTACATTTGACATCTACTCATGGGAGCTGGGGGGAAGGGAGATTGCGTGGGAGGGAGCCCAAATACGCGCTAAGGCCTTGGTAAGGGCTTAGTAAAGCATGTTTCATAATGCACTGGTGCTGCGGTATTGGCCGCGTTCAACATTGAGCCCGACCAGGGCTCACATCGGTACGCCAACCTGTGTCACCCCTGTTCCGCTAGTGACCAAGCATCGGGTCCATGAGCCACGGTCAACACCTGCTCTGCCACTTCGCTGAGACTTGTGTCCAGGACGAATCGCTCTCCGATTTCGCAAGTCTCATCCGATTCGCCCGAGGCGCTGGACCTCGTTGCGCAGGTAGGCGCTGTAGCCTTCCACGCCCCCGAAGCATTCAAAGGCCTCTGCCGCAGCCGAGGCGACATCCTGCGCAGCGGAAAGCTATGGCGTGCACAGTGAGCTTCCCACGGAAAGTCCTGTCGTCGGTTCACTCAAAGGAGTCAAAACGTCTCAGCAAGTGAGCCATGTTTGTTCAGAAACATCGAATCCAGGCACAATTGTCAACGCAAACGTGTTCCAAATGCGGTGACAATATGCACGGGGATGACAAAAAACATAGTGATGTTAGCTCATCTGTCTAATGTGGGAAACGTTGAGACAGAAACGCTACCAGTACCGCTCAAGCTAGAACACAACGCCGAGAAGCTCATGCCTGGACGAAGCAATCCAATGCATGTCAAAGCCGGCAAGAAAGCACACTGCAACTGCCCCGCAACGTTCTGTGACATCACTTGCAGAAAGCTGCGAAGGACTCCTGGAGATCCTGAACATTCCTCCTGAAATGAAAAGTGGATTCTCCTCTTATGGCTGTCAAGGGCCCCCCAAACCCAATGCCCCCCAATAGGGGTGAATAGGATTTTCCTCTGGGCGCCAAATGGTTCTCAACCCCCACGATAGGGACCGATTCCCCAAGTCCAAAAAGGCAGAGCTCCCGACGTCGATCGCGATCGCCGCAAGGCAAAGTCACGAGGCGAGGTCCTGGCCCAGCAGGAAGTCCCCGGCGCCTCCGTGGCCCTTCGCGGCCGAGGAGGCGAAGTCCAGCAGCTCCTGCGAAACACACGGCACGTAGCATATATATATATATATATGTGTGTGTACATATATATATATATATATGTGCATATATACAGATATACATATACACATCGGTTTGTGTGTGTGTGTGCGTACATGTATACGTATGAGTAGATGTAGAAGTTTAGTCAAAAAGAATCGCTTGTGTATATGAATGCAACAAAGGTGTGCGGTGGTGTCTTTGCATATGTATATATAAAAATATATATGTATATCTATATATTAATGTGTACATATGCACATGTGTATGTAACGAGCATATCGGCATCTGCATGTGCAATCTACCTGCATAAGACACCAAGCACACGGAGGCATGTACCATGACTGTAATCTGCTTGCGCTAGATTTGATTGTGATGAGCAACGATCGGTCTGTGAACATGTCTTCATAGTAGCTTGGCGGGTATGCCGAATGTTCATCCCTTTTCGTTATGGTGAATGTGAACCTGCTTCATATGTCGTGATGGCGGTGACGTTGTTCTGGCTCTATCTTGTGCTGCAGCTTTCACTTTGAGAGTTATTCTTCCGTGTGCGGAAGAATCGCACGCGAGCCACACCTTATGATGTCCTTTTGGGGCCCAGGTAGACAAGTGCCACACATGGCCAGCATAGAAGGATGCTCTGCATTGCCGCAGCTGACAAATCACATGGCACCGTCAGGAAAGGGAAGTGAGCAGCACTCTATTGCTACCATTTTTTGCATCCGCATGTGACTAGGATACCCTTCATTCATTCATTCGCGTCACACAGGCCCACCACTCCGAATTCACCAGGCGAGCCTGTCTGACGCGCTTGGTACTTGGACCCAAGAAAGGAGAGACAAAGAGTCCCGGTGCTCTCCTCCTCCAGCGTCAGCGCGCCGGCATTGCAACCAGGAGTGCCTGCTGAACTGGCCGCTGCGCAAGTTGTGGTCACATTGAAACTTGGCCATGGGTCAAAACCAATGGGATCCCATTTTGGGATAGGTGAATTCACCACCCATTTTAGAACCTATTTTAGTGGGGATTGGGATGTTCACTGGGGGTACGGGGTTTTGACCCATGGCCACTTGGGTAACGTGGGCAAGTTGACTTACGAACTGCGCTCGCTTTGCGCCTGCGCCTTTAACCTGGTAGCCTCCCGACAGCGAGAAACGCCCTGGGCACCTTGGATGACTTCCTGCAAGGCCCGGCCGAAGGAGAAGCCAGCAGATCTTGCCTTGCTCAGCATTTCCAGAGCACTCTCCTGGGTTTCGTTTGCTCAACCCAGCGCAATCACACAGCAAAGTTAGCAACCCTGATTGTCAATCTGCGCATTCCAAATCGACAGACTAGCGTCTGGATTGATGTGAACCGAATTGAGATGCGACCTGCGATAAAAACAAAAAGTTGTTCCGCTTGCTCTTTCCAAGATGCCTTGTGTGGTTTCCAGGCGGTCCAAGCCTTCGCAGGAAATCATGCAAAAAGCATCGCAGATTCTTGCCTACTTGTTCTTGCAGTCTAAAATCAAAGAACGAGGTTGAAGCACTGTCACACATGCCATGCCCAACAGTGGCAGGGCCAGAGCAGGCTCGAGTCATGTCCACAGGCAAAAAGCGGCTGGCACCAACCATAACGCGAAACGGAGAAGCAGTGTTGGTACATCGTGTCGACAAAACATCAATGGCAGGCTGTCGAAAGTATGGACCTGAAGTCCACAAGAATCCTCTTGCGTGTGCTGGCAACTGAAGCCAGGGCTAAATGAATCAGCGCTCCATCGCAATGATGGAGCGAAACAGCAAGCCAGTAACATGAGATTGCCCCCAACACAACTGCTAAAATCTGTTCAAAGGCTGAGGCATGCCCCATACAAAGAAACGTTCCTTGCGGGAGCTATCTGCACAGAAACAAAAGTCGACACGCATGGAATGGAAACCTAACTTGACCTGAACCGATGGCCAGAGAAACCAACCCATGAGTCAAGACGTGGCTGTGGCTCAATAAACCGGAATTCCAAAATGGGTTGCCCTGGTAAGTGGAAACCTGGACCAAAATGGACCAGAACCTGCGGTGTGCCCCTGTCTAATTCTGAGCCACACCCATCGCTGAGGCCAGCGGCTCGTCAGCCACTGGCTGGCCCGCTCTTTGCAGAGCTCCGCGAAGCGCTCCTGACCGCAGCCGGGGGTGCGGTGCTTTTTTTGTGAGGGTACCCCCACCCATCCCCCAGTTTCTGGTGGACTTACCGCAAAACCCAAGAGGCCACAATTTCGAGAAGTCCCCCAAAAAGACAGACACCCAACTCAGCCAGGTAAACCTCTGCCAGGTAAACTGCCGCGTCCATGTGCTATGGGCACCCCTTCCGCACCTCCAGGCACAGGGCAGCATCTGTGCCGCACAGAATGGAGGCAGGCACTGAATCGTCGCCTGCGGACTTCGGATTCCAAAGGTTGGCCCCTGGTGCAACTGAAGCAGGTTTGCATATGCTGCCGAAGCTTTTGCTTTCTACCAACTGCCAAATTGTTTTGAGAGGTCTGCCAAAAGAAGGGTCGGAAGCGACGATTAGCATTGTTCCACGGACGACACAACCCGCTTGTTCATATTAGTCAAAGACTGATGCGTTTCCTCCGTCAAATGTCTCTGTTTTCTCTTCGGCCGCAAGGCCCAAGAAAACAGCAGCAAGGCTCCTAGGCTACCAGACACGTCGCTTTGGGGATGTCCAGACCGAGATCCAGAGATCCAGAGATCCCCACCTCCCAAGCTCACGTTGGAAGAGGCGGCCCCCACAAGGACCGTGCGTCGCAGCTGCGGGTCGAACCTGGCCAGGTGCAGCTCGGGAACAGGTGATGCGCATAAAATAATGCATATATAATAAATGTCTTTGCCGCGTGTGAAATCGTATGGATTCGTAAATGTCAACAACCCGTTGGGTTTTCCGGAAATGTACCCAATGCTTGCAACAGACATCACCTACCACGATTCCACAGGATTGCGGGAAGGGTTGGGGGGGAGGGGGGGGTGCAGGGACACGGCTTGTACCACAACCTCTGAACCCTTCCCCCTTCCCAGGGGGGACACGGGGACCATAGACACTGGACCGTATATACATATGGATGTGTATATATATATACATATATATATATATATATATTAATGCTCAACCCCGCCCCCCGCCCCCCATGATCTACCTCTGTAGCATAGTGTGTAGCCAACAAGCTAAAGCCTATTCGGGGACTTTTCAAAGTCGATTTAAACTGCAGTCAACTTTGATTAAAACCGTGTTTGGAATGGAGTTCCTGCTTGAATTCTCCATGACGACTATTAAAATTCCAGGTTCATTGCAATTAAAGTACCATTTGGCAAGGAAATACTGCTTAAAGTCGGAATCAAAACAGATATTCAAAAGAAGCTCTTTCCTTCTTCAATTCTATCACAATTCCAAGTTCAACGGGATTCACATTGATATTCTAATTTACATAGTAGCTATAGTTGAATTCGTCCCTTGTTAGGTTCTATTCATGGAATCGATGCTTTAGTTAAGACTCAAATTGCAGATAGAAGTCGAATAGAACTTGTTCCACGTTCTAGAGTTAGTTAATTTCACATCATATGTGGAAAGGATTGTTCTTTAAATTCTCAATCAAAATACAACTCTTACTTGAATTCTGAGCTTATTAAACTATTTTTACATTCTGAATAAACTTCATAAGGAGCCTTGTAAGCAGCTTTTCAAGATGCTTTACTTGTACAAGGAGCCTTTTGAGGAGCCTTCTGAGTCTCTTACGGAGCTTAGGGTGCTTTCAAGAGCTTTGTGAGGAGCTTTTGGAAGAAGTCTCGTAAGCAGCTTTGCAAGTGAAAACATGAGGAAGCTTACGAGCAGCTTTGCAAGGAGCTTATGAGGAGCTGGAGAGGAGCCTGGCAAGCTTTACCATGACTCTTACAAGGAGAGTTATAAGGAGCTTTATAAGGAACCTTTTTTAAAGGAGCTGCATAGCAGCTTGAGTGAAGACTTGAAAGCCAGGTGTTAAGTTCTAATTCAACGTCGAACATCAAATTCGGTTCTGCCCTCAGCACATGTATTTAAGTTTGACTTGCGTTCTAATCAAAGGGTTGAATGGAGCACCCTGATGGCAAAGGCCACACAGCTGTGAGTTTCTCAACCTTCGCTGGAGAAAGAAAAGTAGTGCGTCAGAAAACCCAGGAGAAAAACAGTAGTGCGTCGGAAAACACACCAAGTTCATATATGATTGGTTAATGATATCGGCACGCGATAAAATCTAGCGCAGGAAGGTCACACCCGTAACTGTGGCTCCAAAATGGTTTAATCGTGGCAGTACCAAACCTGCCCAACCTGCCCAAACCAGGGATAAGCTAAAAACCAAGAAAACCAGGCGAAAACAAACGAAAAACTCGGAAAAAAACAAACTCTATGGAGCTGTTGCTTTTCCAAAAGTGTGTTGTTTGTGTGCTTTCTCGAGGTGTTTGTTGTTGGGCTTCCCTCAGTTTGCTTTAGCTCTACAGTATCCATTCAAACAGCCAAACAAATCAAGCGTCTTTATATTTTGCCTTCTGGTATTCACGCAAAACCAACAAAGCTCGAGCTTGTTTGGTTGCTTGAAGGGACAGAGCTTAAAATAATAATAATGGAAATTCAAAACACAAAAAACAAAGCAAAGAAAAAGGATTTTTGCAAGTACTAATACTCAGGCGCACAAAGGAAAAACACAAATCAAACAAACTGTGTCGTTCCTTCAAACCATCCGAACTATGAAACAACACAGTGGTGTGCTTACATTGTTCCTTGGAATTGCAAGTACTTCGCATGAGGGGGGACCAGGAATACATTATCCGTGTATATGCCATGTGTATAATATGTGTGTGTGTGTGTGCATGCGTGTTTGCAGTCTGCTTGCGTCAGTTCGTGGGAGCACGGAATCCACGCCACTTAACGTCAGGCCTCACAAAAAGGGCACCCAAAAGGCACCTCAAGGCGAAAAGGCGATGGCCGAAAGTCTGACGCTCGAGAAGGGAGCCTCCTGCACAGCTCCAGCGGAGGTCCTCTCTCCAGGCATACCAAAAGGTTCGAGCTGGAGCCCAGGTGCCGCATTCGCATCTCCTGACGTGACACGTTCAATGGGTACAAATGCGTTCCTTTCAGATGTGCTTCGCACGCACTGTCCTTTGCAAGCGGACCCATTGATTAGAACCCGTTGAACGGGTCCTGAACTTGGGGTCACGTCCATTCTGCCGGAATCCTGGAAAGGCAAACATCCAGAAAAAGAGGCCGGTTCCTGCAAAGAGCGACGGCTGAAACGAATCGTGCAATCCACTCCAGGAACTTTCCACAGCGAATGGTGCGAAGCAGAAGGTCCAGCTGTACTATCAACAGGCATAGCAACCATCGACCGGTCATGTCTGACGTGGGCGATGCAACAATAATGCCACCTGCGTAGTGTCCCTCAAGAAAAGATATGAGCGGTGTGACACCGTCGGCAACAAGGCATTACCTTGCGACCACCGTGCGGATGTGCGTGTCTGTGTCTGTGTGGGTGTTTGTGGGTGTGTGGGTGTCTGTGTGGGTGTTTGTGGGTGTGTGGGTGTCTGCGTGTGTGTGTGTGTGTGTGTGTGTGTGTGTGTGTGTGTGTGTGTGTGTGTGTGTGTGTGTGTGTGTGTGTGTGTGTGTGTGTGTGTGTGTGTGTGTGTGTGTGTGTGTGTGTGTGTGTGTGTGTGTGTGTGTGTGTGTGTGTGTGTGTGTGTGTGTGTGTGTGTGTGTGTGTGTGTGTGTGTGTGTGTGTGTGTGTGTGTGTGTGTGTGTGTGTGTGTGTGTGTGTGTGTGTGTGTGTGTGTGTGTGTGTGTGTGTGTGTGTGTGTGTGTGTGTGTGTGTGTGTGTGTGTGTGTGTGTGTGTGTGTGTGTGTGTGTGTGTGTGTGTGTGTGTGTGTGTGTGTGTGTGTGTGTGTGTGTGTGTGTGTGTGTGTGTGTGTGTGTGTGTGTGTGTGTGTGTGTGTGTGTGTGTGTGTGTGTGTGTGTGTGTGTGTGTGTGTGTGTGTGTGTGTGTGTGTGTGTGTGTGTGTGTGTGTGTGTGTGTGTGTGTGTGTGTGTGTGTGTGTGTGTGTGTGTGTGTGTGTGTGTGTGTGTGTGTGTGTGTGTGTGTGTGTGTGTGTGTGTGTGTGTGTGTGTGTGTGTGTGTGTGTGTGTGTGTGTGTGTGTGTGTGTGTGTGTGTGTGTGCTGTGTGTGTGTGCATGTCTGCGTGTGTCTGTGTCTGTGTCTATGCATATGTATGTGTGTGTAGGTGTATGTGTAGGTGTAGGTGTTGGTGTATGTGCAGGTGCAGGTGTAGGTGTGTAGGCGTAGGTGTGTATGCGTAGGTGTAGGTGTATGTGTGCGTGTAGGTGTAGGTGTATGTGTAGGTGTAGGTGTAGGTGTGTACGTGCAGGTGTAGGTGTATGTGTATGTGTAGGTGTTGGTGTTGTAGGTGTGTGTGTGTGTATGTGTGTATGCGCCAGGGTGTTGAAAATGACCTACGCGTGGTGCTTGTACACCATTACACCACTGCATTATTCCAAATGCATCCAAACGCCCCTTGGCTTACCCGCCTGCCTCAATCTTCAGGGGCACGTCTGCGAGCACGCTGCACTTCTCTGGCAAGTCCACAACATCTAGGTTTGCACAGCCTGGGACGTGACGCCCTACATGAGTCTTGGGCAAGGGCGTCGTTATACCACAAGATGTTTGCTACAATGTGTTGCAAAGCTGCTGGGCTTCTTTTTAAAATAGAAATCCCAACATCAGCCAGCAAGTATGAGATGTAGACTAGGCAATGAATAGACCTACTACATAAATTGCAAACTGCCTGAGGTTGAGCACAGATCCTGCAGATCATAGGAGTCCCAAAGTTTCAGCATAGGTTCTTCCTGATTCCTCTGCCGCAGCTCGCAGCTGGATGTTATCTGCCAACATGATGAGTAAAGCAAAGCACCGAAAAGATGTTGGTGACGAACAGCCGGAAGCTCCTCCAATTGGCCTCTGCATATGGAACAAGGGGTCCTGGGAGCTTCCATGTTGGCCTGGGGGAGGGTAACTCCTTTCTCAAAATCAACATCTTGACGATGTGCTATGAACCCTCGACTCTTAGAGCGCTTCTTGCCCAGAAACTCGTCTGAATGCTGATCAAGCCATCCTTTGGTCAAAGCCTCCTCTTCCGTTCGGCGGCTCGCCGCATTTTCCACGCCCCGCCTGCTGCAGAGAGCCGCAGGCGCAGGGCGTCCAGCTTCAGGCGGTGCCCTAGGGCCTCCATCGACTCATCGAGCGGTGTGGCGTGTGTCCATCCAACGGGCCGTTCAAACCGTTGGAAGACCTGTGAAGATCAGCAAAAGTATGGTAACCCTTGGTATGCTAGCAAGAAACCTGTTTTTTTTGCAGCACCCTGCCAAGAACAGTGAAGAAAGTGGTCCGGCATGATTAAAAACAAAGATTGCAACCAAATGGAAGATGACTAACACTGCCGATCAACCCCCTCTCGCCTGCTGCGTAGCATTCCGCACACCCTGCAGCCAGTACTCTGCTTCAGGCGCCTGGCGGCAAACAATTGGCTGGCGGGTCTTTTGGGATGGGCGGGGCTCTTGTAGAACTGCTCGATGCATTCAGGGCACTATGGCCAAATTGAACAACATAGACCGTAACGAAACTGCGGGTAAAAGTAATTTCGCTTTCCAGCAAAGTCAAGGCATACCAGCAAACTCACCTGTTAAATTTTCCCCTGCGCTAGCACAAGACCAGGAATGGGATGGCTTCCTAATCCTGAAGATTTGAGTAAGCGCGACGCAAACACCCAAATGGGCCAAGCCGAGATGTGCTACGCTCGTCTTTTCCTCTCCGCTTAGAAGGCTTTCAAATTGGTTGAGATGACTCAAAAGGATGATTTTACGTGCAAGGTCAGGGTAAATTGAAACAACATGAGTTCAGGAAACCGCCAAACACCGAAAAGTTATGCACGATGCAGGTAGATTGTACCAAATATCTACAGCACGGGCTGCGAGGATGCGCAACAAAGGGCAGCTGTCGATGGAACGTTTGGGCGAATGAAGCAACAGACCCTACGGCTAACATGGGAGAAGATCCCCCTGTGAAAACGTGGAGGTGTCCTGAGGCTGCAGTTTGGGAATCCTTAGAACTTCAGATATGGCCCATTTGCCACCTGGATGAACATCCATTTGCCACCTATTTTGATGTTCACCAGGGGTACAGGGTTTTGACCCACAGCCATATGCCCAAGATGAACAGAAATTCGTCCGCCTGGCCTGTGGGGAGCCCAGCTCTGCGTTGCTGCACCTGAGAGGACCAGGCGGTTGGAGCTGTCTGCAGCCACAAAAAGACAGGCCATGCGGCCGCATCCTGCCAAACTTCCAAGAGCCCTCACACATGCAGGAGCGCAAATTCGGGTGTCTCCGAAAGGCTCCAAAGCAAAAGTGTCCTTTTGGTTTCCTTGTGGTTTCCTCCATTTGGGTTTCCTTGTGGTTTCCTTGTGGTTTGCCACAAAAAATAGTTGTTCCACTTCTTTCCTTTTTTCCCCACAAAAAAAAAAAGGGAAAAAAGTTGTTCCACTTGTTTTGTTTTCACCAAAAAAACAGAAGAGAAAAAAGAAAGAAAAACAAAATCCATTTGGCACAAACTTCCGCCGCCGGTGACTCACTGGGCGCCCGCTCCGCAGCTCTAGGGCCATGGGCTGGCGCATGCCCGGTTGGACCAGGACCTCGGAGCCAACAAAACGCTCAAAACACACTCATGGACACTTGTTCCAGCCATGGTCCTTGTCGTGAGCACGGACGGGCCTGCTTCGTCTGCGTGAAGCGCATGATGTAAAAGGTTTCTCAAACAGCGGAAAGCTCTTGAGCCAAAAGGCGCAAACGCTGCCTTGGTGCCAATGCCTTTGGAGCTGCAACCTTGAAAAATACTGTTCGTTCAACTGGAAGCTTGACTTTTTGGTGCAGTTTGACCTGAGCACCTGCCGGTGCAATCCTTGGTTCACCAAGGGGAGAGGGGGAAGCCTTCGACAGAGCTGGAATGCTGGCCGCGAGCCTCCAGGAAAATCCATAAAAACACCTCAACAAGAATGCGATTATTCCAAACCACCTTCATGTGGTCAATTTCATTGGTGATCCTAGTAACTATGTCTTCATGCGACACCAAAACCATCGGATCTCCGCAGATCTCTGTAGCTCTAAGGCTCTAGCTCTGCCTCGCCTGTCAGACTCGAGCGAAAGACCCTTGGCACCCATGCAAACTGTGTTTCTGTACGTAAGTCTGTGTATCTGTGCATTTTGTTAATGGATTTATTAATGTCTGTTCTTATTTATTTATGTGTTTGTTTGACTAATTGGCTTAACTTGTTTCTTTATTTGCTTATTTGAATAGTGATTGCTTGAGCTAGGTTTTTTGAAATCACGGTGTTGATTGATGTTTATTGACTCTTGTTTATACCGTTGAATTATTCAATGACTACTGTGTACTAGTTTGCCGCTACTTATTAGGTTTTCAATTATGTGATTAGTTGTGGTAATTGTGTATTTGTGTGCGCGTGTGTGTGTGTGTGTATGTATGTATGTATGTACGTACGTACGTACGTGCGTATGTATGTATGGATGGATGGATGGATGGATGGATGGATGGATGGATGGATGGATGGATGGATGGATGGATGCATGGATGTATGCATGGAGGCAGGCAGGCAGGCAGGCAGGCAGGCAGGCAGGCAGGCAGGCAGGTATGTGTTCATTGTTTACCGTTTTGTCTATGTATTCAGTTATTTAGTTAGGTGTGGCTCAAAACTAAAGAACTAGTGTTACGCAGCTTTTAGTCTTCGGTGTTATTTACCAAGGTGCCATTTTGGTACCTGTTTTTGAGCCACAGAAAGTTAGACAATGTATGTATTAATTTACATGTGTATGCATTTATACACATGTATTTTCAGACGCTCGCTGATGCGAACGTATGTATACACATACATGAAATAGATGCATAATAGCGAGAGGGAGCGGGAATTGTACCATCTTTTCGTTACATGTATACTAGACATATACATATACATATATATGGTGTATACACAAATATATCTATACATATACACATATGGGAGTTATCCAATATTGCGTTTCCTCAAAAACCCTCCAATCGCCGGCCTTTCACGCTCCAATCGCGACCACTGCAGGGCCAACTTTGAAATACACTGTGCGTTTCCAACACGGGGTCACCCAAACAATCTGATGTTCACCCAAATCCGCCATCCTCCGCCATCCTTTCGCAATGCAGGTGCTACAAAAAAGCGCACAACCAGTTACCCAAATACCTAAAATGGAAGACATGACTTGCAGACGGCTCCCATATGCGCATGCTGAGACTAAGGTGGTCCGAAACTGCTGGGCTTCAAGGCAACATGCCGACGGGCCGACCTTCTCGCACATCATCGGGCCTCAAGCCCCGCATGCCTCTCCCCGTGCCCAAAAGGTCATGCACCTTGCAAGTGGCACTCCCTCGGTATATGACAAATTAAAGATCTAGGGTTACGCTGATTTTAGTCTTTGCTTCCATTTGCCAAGGTGCCCTTTTGGTACATTCATTTGAGCCACAGCCATATCTGAGCTCTAAGGCTTGCACTGGTTGTCTTGCTCCATTGGCTCGTGGGGAGAATTTTGGTCCTTTGAATCGCTGTATGCTCTGTGCCACTTTGCAGATGCGGGGTCCTGTTTTGGAAGGCCCTGCCAAAGTGAAAGCCGTGCGGTGGGCATTGCAAGTCCAGCTTACCCCAGAACAACTATCACCTGGCCTTGCCGGGTGCTGACAAGCATGCTGTAGAGTCTCTCTTTACATCTCCTTCACCATGCTTCATGTTCGTTAGCTCCATGTTCCGTTTTCTTGCTGCACTACGCTGGGAACCATCGTCAAGTGCATGCGCAACGTTGCGGGCTGTGAAACCGTCGACTCCTTGAAGCTTATCATTCATTAGGTGATGTGTTTATCAAAAGTCTGCCAAAGCAAACTGGGACAGTAGAAGCATTGACCAAAGTCTGGAACGAATTGCCACATTGCAAATCAGCGCATCTGCCACCGGTTCCCTGCAGCTGGTCCTTTTTTAGCACTGCATGACTATTTTGGATCTATGTCTGAATTAGTAAGGCTGCACCGAATTCATCACAGGAGCCTTCGAGACTTACAAAAGTTCGTGCGTCGCTGGGTTGGAATCCCAGTGTAATGCACCTGTCCATGGCTCCCCTCAAGCACCACGGACCCCAGGGTGCGGATACTCGACACAGGAGCAAATTGCCTGTGCGTGGCGGGGGACGGGGCCGTGGGTTTCAAGGCATCCCACAAAGTCCAGCGTCCCTGTGAACTGAACAAAGTGCTGGAGGTCCCAACTAGTTCTCCGTCTGAAAGTGCCTTTCGGGCAATTCCAACGGTCACAGAACACCCGAATTTGGCGGTCGCCTTCACTCCTGACTCTGTGAGACTGGAGTGGATTGATAGACAAAGATGGCGCAACAAGCAGCACACCTGACTTTGGTGGCACTTTTGAATGAAAAGAGAAGTGCTGGACTGGCTCATTGTTTGATACGGAGTGCGGAAATGGTATCAATGGAATTGGAATGATTGACCATAGAAGGGATTCCACATGTCATGATAACATTAATTGCCACGCCACAACAGCAAAGAAGACTGCCAAAACGTACATTGAAGCAAACAGATCAAGCCTCATTTTGGGGGTTCTCAAAACGGCGGACCCCTTTTTGGAGGGTTCTAAAGGGAAACCAAAAGGAAACAAGCCATAAACCGGGTCCGGAAATTTTGAGAAACACCCCTGTTCAAGCGCAGCTGGTGGTAGATATGTCGACGCTGAAATGGAAAGGATTGGATTTCTTGTGATTCAACTTGTCGGTACCCGACCTTCGGCGGGCCTTCACCGCGCAGCCCTCAGCGCGGTAAGGCAGCGTTGCACCGCCGCCAAGCGGCCCTCCACCTGAATCTGAGCAGCATGGAACACTTGATGCGATAGGGGAATGAGAAATGGAATGACCAATAGAAACCATCCAACTTGTTTCCCACATTCCCTATTCAGCACCAAGAATCTTCGGGACTCCGAAATGGTCAAGCTTCACTCAAGCAAAGGCGAAAGAACCACCACTGCATGGAACATGAACATGGCGATGCAACAATTAAAACAAACATCGCAAAATCTACATGTAAATGAGTTTGAGCAGCACCAGCGCAATGTCTCTGCCAGCCTATATGTATTCAAACCCGAAATCCAAAAAAACCCGAAGGATGCTACCGTTGCAAAGTCTTGTAGCTTGGAAAGCGGATTTATATCTCATATTGCACAGCTGGTGGCCAGTCCAATCCGCGAGACACTGCTTGCACTCCAGATAAAATCTAGTAAATCAGCTTCGTCATATTTTGAAAAGCAACCAGTGCGCGTCGATTTCGAACAACGGAACACTTCCTCACTCGAAGAAGACAGGCTTCACTCAGCTTTGATTGGGTTGGGTACGTCAGGCCCGCTTCTGACTGAGCTTGTGCAAGGCCAAGCGCCAAAGTGTTCCTCCAGAGAAGAAGTTCACATCTAGTTTTCGGTAACACCTTAGCAAGCTGACTGTAGCTCATATCTATCGCAACTTCCAATAATATCCATGTCCCGACTTTGCATTTATCCTTCGACCTACTGCAACCTCCATCCATGGCACAAAATGGACGGCCCGCTTGAGACGTTGCAACACCCCTTTTTTTCCAGGCAAAGCCGCCTGTGAGGCAACCTCCTGGAGCTCTGTGTGCCTGTCCTGGCGAAAGCTGTTTGATACGTACCTTTGGTGCGTGCGCCTAAAAGGTGCGCGCGTGCGATTGACACAGTTTCAAAAGGAACACACAAAGGTTGCCTGTGTGAAATAAAGATGACCTTCTGTTGCATCCAGTGACTTCATGCTTTTGTTTCGCCCAAATTCCAAAACACGAAACAACCGCAAAGCACACACTAGGCAATGCAACCCCCGGAGCACGTGCCAAGGAAAGCAACGACAATGCGATGATAAGGTATCGTGCCAAGGGCTCAAGCAGCTAAGCAGCAACCAGGCTGCATATGACGGATAGTCATACACGCCACTGACTAGTAACAAATATATTGCATACCAACCCAACATAAGTTTGACACTTTCAACAAGAACAATGTAACTGCTCAGATGTCCATCATCGCACCTCTAACACTCGCCGCTGCTCTGCGTTGAAGTCGATACCATTCATAGCCTGCACCAGCATGACCCGTAAGAACACGATAGAGCACAGGGGGGGGCTCATCTGTCTCCCTCAACCAGCTGAAAAGTGCCTTAAAACAACGGGATGGCACTTCTACCCCTAACCACGCATTGACCAACCCTGTCTAAACCTCCACTCACAGGTCATCCCTTAGCACTGGCAACTTTGGCCCATGACTTACCGGTGTGGCTAGCTTTCTGGCATATGTGCCGGACATTGCCTATGGTTTAGCGCTTTCTGGCGGGTTCTGTCGGGTGTTCAGGTCACAGACATGGGCCAACCGGGCGCGTAGCCAACTGAGAAGCCTTCCAAGCAAACCCAAGCAACTGACACATGCTCTGGGGATTTCATTGGGGTGCTATCATTCGCTGAAAGAAAGCTACCCGCTGTGAGGCGCCGAACTGTTCCAGGGTTCAACCCTGGCCAGGCATAGGCACAAACAGCTCCTTCTGCACGGTTGGGCTTTGCTTGCGTGAACAGCACACATGTCAAGCCTTAAACAAACAAAAAAAACTTGTCTTGATCGATCCCAGACTGTGGACGCCCACGAAAGTCTTACACAGACCCATGGATGAGGCAGTACAAAAAACTGGTAGCAGACTTTGCACCTGCGAATTGGTTTTCAACTGGTTTGCTTGTTTCCTAAAGGGGAACCGCAAAAATGGGTGATTTCCCGTGCGTTCCCTTCACCCCCGAAAAGAAGTACCAAGACACCCCCAGGTTTATGGCGTCCCATCGGCCGGTACGTCCATCGGCCATCTGCCTCGTCGACCTGTCTCCGGCACAAGGTGGCCAAGGAGGCATCGGCAAAGGCATAGGCTTGGGTTGCCAAGATGCCTCGCAAGGCATATGCCCGGAGACAGCGTGACAGCATCAAGAAGCTTGCACATGGAATCACAATGTCTCCTTTGGATCTGCATTCGGAATAACACTTGATATTGTTTGAAACCCATACAGGTACGCCCAGTATGCATGTTTCTGTGAAACTTGCAAGCTCTACATGCAATTGTTGGGTGGGACCACATATCCTGACTTGCCCTATCAAAACACTGAATTCCAATTTAGGCAGGCCAAACTGTCCAATAGAACAAACACATTGGCAAGCGAATTGCGAATTTGTCCTCTCAAAGGCACAACCCTCCTGCAACATGCTGGTTTGCCGCACAAGCGGGCACTTCGAACGGCAACTACCGTGACGGCACGGAATGGCAAAAAATATTATAATACCTCCCAAAACTATGGTCGATGTCTGCCGTATCTATTGTATCTATTGTATCTATTGTATCTATCTATCTATCTATCTATCGATCTATCTATCTAACATATCTATATTACCTATCTTATCTGTCTGTCTGTCTGTCTGTCTGTCTATCCATCCATCCATCCATCCATCCATCCTTCCATCCATCCATCCATCCATCCATCCATCCATCCATCCATCCATCCATCCATCCATCCATCCATCCATCCATCCATCCATCCATCCATCCATCCATCCATCCATCCATCCATCTATATCTGTCTGTCTGTATATATATATATATATATGTATCATCATCATCATCATCATCATCATCATCATCATCATCATCATCATCATCATCATCATCATCATCATCATCATCATCATCATCATCATCATCATCATCATCATCATCATCATCATCATCATCATCATCATCATCATCATCATCATCATCATCATCATCATCACGCCTGCATCTGCCGCTTACTGCGATCCTCCCCCCTCTCACGTTCTGGCAAACAAAGCTTTGTTGCATATCGATGTAATCACTCCCATTGAATGCAGCTAGACACCTCGTCATGTGCGACACTCAGGGTCTTCCAAGACTTCGTGAAGATGTTGCCAATTGGGCTCCTGCCCCTCCTTGCCCAGCAAGGGGAAACCCCCCTCAAAAACAAAAACCAGGCGCAAACAAATCCAAGGGGAGGAGGTTGACCACATTCGGAATCCCAAGCCCACGGCTTTCAAACCAAGAGGGAAAAACAAAATCCAAGCGCGCCCTCGACATCCGGGGACCTGCCAGCACGTTGAAGGCCCGCTGCAGCTTCAGGGCCACCAAGGGTGCCGCGGACTTCACGTCTTTGGGGTCGAAGACCCGGTCCTCAGGGAGGCCCATGGGACTTGGAATGAATCTAGCCCTTGGTTTGGTGGGTTTTCAAGGCAAACCAAAAGGAAAACCCGTTGCGCCATTTTGGGGGCAAACTTTTTCAGAAGACACCCATATTAGGGTGGATCAATCTTCGGCAGAATGACCAAACTTGTTCCATGTGAAAGTCGTCCCAAAGAGGCGGTGTCCTACTGGTCACACCGTGTAAAGGTGCAAGGAATGAGTCGTGACAAAATGCTTTGGTCATGGCCAACAAGGACAGGGCGATCGAGCATTGGGAGTCGGGAACAGTAACTACGGCTTCCCACAGCCCGAAAAAGGACGCTACCAGAGTGGGATGGAAAGAAGAATCCTGAAGATGTTCCAAGAAAGAAGTTTCGGGCGTTCAATGGCACGTCTGATTCGGCAGCTAGCCGTGATTCCCCTTGGCCAAAACAGCTTTCGCCATACAGGGATTGAGCGACAGGTATTCAGGCTCCCATCAAAAAACGAATGAACCTACTTAGGGCCCAAAAATGCCCCCGCCGGAAGACTCTAGCGCGGTGTCGTGTTCACTGGCGGTGACCGTGGCCTGCAGCTTGGGCGGCAGCCCCCCAGAAGGCCCGCTGCGGCGCCGCATCTCCACCAGCACGCGGCCCTTGGCCTGGGGCTGGCGACCCTCCAGCGGGATATGTGGCCATCCAAAGCCAAGTCAGGCAGCTACCCATGCTACCTGACAAACATGTCGCCATGTAGCAATATGCGCAGCTAAGATAGTGACATTGAGGCTACGCAGCTTGTGCCTTGCGTCATAACCGCGCATTGCAATGTTGTCGAGGGGCTTCTGTTGCATGATGACCCGTACAGTAAATGAGTGCAGGGAGGTAACTATCACACAACTATAAAGCTACATGTTTACAACTGAAAGAGTCGACTTAACATTGAAAGCGGTTCGCAAATAAGTTTTCCTGTATAATTAAACAAAACGCAAAGACCCCTTTAAACGCTACCCTTTGAAGATCTAGCAAATTTGACAGACCTGTTTGTTTTGGAAGTTTCGCAGATCGTAGAGCAAAGAATGCAAAGGCCGAACAAACATCTGCAAAATGTAATCTCCTACGCCATTTGTCCAACCAACATAGTGGTTTATTTGAGCCCCAACTCCTTGAGAATAGCTGAATGCTGGCAGCCACGCATTGAACCAAATTCTCCAATGCTGGGCTGCAGTGTGTCTTTGCTCTCTGTTGATTCCAACACATCTCCTTCAACCTGACTGTTCTTGGACATCATGATAGCCTTGATTGAAAGCGCACACCACACGTCATTATTGGACACTACTGCATGGGGCAATAGTTATCGCTGTTGCTTTCTTTGCCTTGGTGACTGCCGACTCATGAGAGTCGCAAGCATTGTCGCGTGCGAGTCATGCTCCACGCGCTCGCTCCCTGCGTCTTCGGTTAATCCTGGATTTCATGCGTGATCGATTTTGTTCACAGGGATTTGCTGTTGCCGCTTTTGGCCTGATGCCCCCCCCCCCGACAAACCAGCTGCGCCCACAGAGGCCCCGTGCGAACTTGAGTGAGTGAGTGAGTTGTTTTTGAAAAGGCTTTCAAGAAATACGCTGGTTGATGGCTCAACAAACAAGTTTGTCGGGAATTATTCCTGCTCCCTAAAAATCCTTTCAGTAACATGTGCTACAGATTGAGCCCGCCTTTCGTCTACTCAATATACAAGCCACTGTTGTCACACCATCAGCTCAAGGAGCCTGTCAAGCCACCAGCGTCGGAGTCAACACGCAACCTGGCATACAACGCTATTTGCGCAGAGACAGGTCGATTCACACCCGTCTTGCACACAGGCGCGCGCGGCCGATCACCTGAACCCGATTTGGCTACGTTGACGTTGTCAGCGCGTACAACCCTTGGTAACGCATCTGAGATTTGCCTTGGCACATCCGAGTTCAAGTGTTCGCGAGACCCATCTGTTCGATGTAGTACACGCGGTTGACCGTGTGATGCGCTTTCCGACGCCGGCATGCAGCACTACAGCACAAGCGCAAGCTCCTGGTCTACAGAAGCCTGCAGAGCCCTGGACCTAGGACACAGCACTCACGCAAGGGATCATCCACTGACCCGTGATCAAAGCCAGCGTCTGGCAACCAAGCGTCGCCCAGAGTCAGCGCGCGCAAGTCACCCCAACTTGACCGAAACGGCTCCGCTTCTTCGGGTCTGGCAGGCACTTCTGGCGCGCCAACTCGGTCAAACCCCAGTGACCGAAGGATCAAAGAGAAGCCACGAATCCGAAGGATCGCGTGCCTCATGGCACGGATGGCCGTGGATGTTTGCCACGCATGGATAAGACGCCCCCAAGAGCAGCGTCCTCCCAATGGCCACGGCCACCAAGCCACCCCTCCACCAGGAGAACATGGCGTTAATATCACAAAGGATAGAAATCAGTCAAATAGAGTCAAGCATCACATGGTTTGTAGATGGGCCTCACAAATATACATGTACACATACGCAAACGGCATTCTCACCGGAGGGTGCGCAATTGACCGCTTGAAGCTGTTTGATTCAAAGGCATCTGCTAGGGTTGCTTCAAGTGTAGGCTGGCAGGAGAACGGCAAACAATTGCAGAGTCGAGCAGCAGCAGAAACAACAGAAAACTACGCCAAGACATTGTCTTAGACAGCGACTGAACGGTAATATGAGGAAGCACTTCACGATTGGTTGATCTGTTGGATCTTGAGCTTCGGACCCTCTGAGGTTCTTCGAATGTCAGCAATTCATAGATCATCGTAGCTTCACATGAAAGCTGGCTTCTGCCAGGTCATATTTGCATTTAGCGCCAGAATGACCTGCCGCCCGAAACTCGAATTTGGCGTCGCCCCCGCGGCCTCGCTTCGGGACAGCGCGCCGCGCTTGGCTGCCGGCTCCGCCGGCTCCGGCGCTGTCAACTCCTGGGCCTACGCTGAAGTGACCACGGGCGGCTTTCTATTCGTCTATTCTTCGATCACACGGATTTCTTTGATTTGAGTCGAACCAACATCTCAAATGATTTAGGTGAGGGAACAGTCGCGAGTCAGAATCCGTGCGCGGTTTCGGGCTTCTTGACTGCAGGTTCTCGGGGCACTCTCAGAAGCTCAAAAGCTTCCAATGCAGCTGCCAACTGGCCTCCGGCTTCTTGATCAGGCTGCTCAAGTCCAGCTCAGGTTCCGTGCGCGGCCTAACAAGGCGCAAACTGAGCGACGTGACGCGTCCCATGTTCGGCGACCTCAGATCTTGTGAAGTTCATTTGAAAGAGGTGCACATCCCCCGTACAAAGAACGACTAAACGCTACAGTCTGGAGGGGTGCCTACGCAGTCATCCCCATGATCCCAAGGCTGGCAAGGGATCAACGGGCATCTGCCTTGCGGCAACTGACCCGAGCTCGCAGACAGATTCCAGCCTCAGCATGATCTCCGGGTTGACGCATGCCGCCGTGAGTGTGCCAGTGAGATTCTTCATCAGCTGTTCGCCTGTAGGGACGCCTCTGTAAAGCACTCGCGAGTCTCATTCCTCACCTGGAACTAGTCAAAGACTTCACGCATGCTTCGCCAACACATGTTTAAGAAGGGAGAACAAAACGCACCGAGGTTTGCCTCACAAAATGCAGGGAATTTAGAAGACGCGCCTACTGCGGAGACAGCATCATCATAGGCGCTAAAGACCAGGTCTCGCACCACCGGGGAGGAGCGCATCACAGCCAAGTGCTGCGTAAACAGCGGCGAGTAGATCCTGCAGCTTGTCGCGACTGAACCAATCTGCCCACAGTTTCTAACCGATGACTCCATCGAATTCCTTTTCAACCATCCTCCTTTTCAGAAACCAATCGCATTTTTTTGTCCATGTCCAGAACCTTTTCCAGGTGTGATTCGGGCACGAGCCTGTGCCCAGGCAATGGGTAAGTTGGGGTAAACAAGCCACAAAAGAAAGGTTCCCCAAAAGCAAACCAATCCCCGGTCCCAAAGATCAGGGTTTCCCACACACCAGAGAACAACAACCAAAGGAAAACAAACCAAACAAGAAAAGGGTTAACCCGCAACCTTGGTCGACAACAGGCCGCACGACTGGTCCCTACCAACCTGGCGGCGGCCCGAGGTCTCTTTCTCCCCCGAGATGCCGTCGGTCGACGCAGGGGTTCGGCGACGCCCATTCGAGGCGCGACGGAACCCAAAACTTGAGCCAAACACCACAGGTCAGTCACTACCGCGACATCCCTGGTGATGAAATAAACCATGGCTAATCACACCCCCCTCACGAGGAGCCCGTCATATGACGGGTGGAGCGTGCCATTTACTGATAGGATTTAACTGCTCGCATACGTCCGCAAACAGCTGGACACTACCGCCGTCAGCGGTGGAGCAAACCCACAAAGGCAGTCGCGCGACATCCCGGGCATTAAATTCCCGCCACCACCCCGAATTAATCGGGGTAACGCTGTCCAACATACCTTGTGGAAAAGTCCACATGACGACAATAGGTCACAACTGTTTGCATCAGAAATGCAAGAAGTTTAATTCTTATCAGAAGCCATGAAATAAAAGATAACGTATGTCCATTAGTACCCTCGCCTAACGGCAAGAGGTACTCCTGACCATGCGTACCTGAAAAATGCCTGAATTCCGCAAACCCGGGAGTAACCCCCCATCAGTTTGCTTTCCCTCTCACTCATACTGCTTCCGGATGAGCACGTCCAGCAGCTCAGCAGCGGTACGGGAGAGACATGACCTCCGCGCCTCAGCGGTCCGGGAGGAACATCACCACCTCCACACCGCGCCGACCATTGGAGAATGGACGCAAGCCTATCGGCCGCAATCCCCGTGACTCAGCCTACCGGCTATCGTCACGTCTCCTCCGGTCACGCCCGCCCCGCGCACGGTCCCTGTCACGATCCCTTTCGGATCTCCTGCGATCATCTCGCCTTCGATCTCGCTCCCGATCGAGTGAATCATCATCACGACGATCACGAGCATCGTCCCTCCTCCTGTCGCGATCATCCTCGCGCCGCGGACGGTATCTGCGCCTCCTCGACTCTCTGGAATCCCTGGTGTCCACGGTCCTAACGGACCTCCGAGAAGGAGTACGGGAAACATCCGATTCCCTATGCCTCCTCCCAGATCGAGAGTTCGTCACGATCTGGTTGAGAGCCTCCAGTGCCGACGCGTCCTCACCATTCCTGATGAAATCCCTGACCTGCTTGTTCAGCACTCTGTTGGTGGAGATCGACAAGAAAGCGTCCACCACCGAACTCTCAGGCAGCACCAGGAAGTGACCCTCCACCGGGCTCGCCGCAGCCCGCTCAGCAGACTGCAGCCGGACCTCCCCGCCTTCAGGCTTCTTTGCCATCGCCTTGGAGGCCGTCAAAGGCGCTACCGCATCCTTTGCCGAAGATCTGCCAAGCGCGGAGTGAAGATCATCCCCGCTAGCTTCTCTCGCTGCCGCACCTGGTCTGCTGTCGACGTCGCCAGGCCTCGTGGACGCCTCCCGCTTTGTCGACTCCTTCGCAGCCTCGTCGGGATCCCAACGGGATTTCCTTTCTCTCTTCTGTCCTTCGGCCGACCCGCGGCTACCGCCGGGAGCGTCACCTTCTCCTGTCTTCTCCTTCTTGACCTCAACCTTAGGTTCGGTCTGCTTCGTCTCCTTAGCCACAGCTTTTGGAGCCGGAGCACTCTTCGCCTCAGATGCTGAAGCAGCCTTCCCTTTCGGTTCGGCCTTAGGAACCGGGGTCATTTTAGCCTTGGCACTCGGCCTGGCCCCTTCAACCACCATCTCGGCCCAAGACTTCTTCGGCTGAGCTGCCGCTGTATCAACCTCCATCGGAGCAGGTCCAGCATCATCCTTCGCCTTTGGGACGGATGGGCTACCGCCCTTACCGGATCCTTTACCTGGCACTTCACCTGATTTTGGTGGCGGGCCGGAAGGACTACCGCCCTTACCGCCCTTCTCCCCTTTCTTCCCCTTTCCTTTTCCGCCCTTGGGGACCGGCTCCTGCTTGGGACCAGGACCCGGCGCAGCATGATGCACCGATTGGAGTCCCTCGATGTCCACGTTCAAAGGTTCGGGTTGACGACCGTCAAGAACCGTCCTCACCTTTTCGTCACTAACGTAGACGAACGGGTCACGGAAGGGTGCGGGAGGCTCCGACTGTCCGGCGCTGATCGCCTTCTGCACCTTGGCTATCGCCTCCTTCAACCTCTTCTTCTCATCGTACCCCGTCTCCGATACCATGTACTTCCTGAGCTGCGAAATCAACGCATGACTCTTCAGGATGTCCACGTCCTTTCGATGGGTCGGGTACAATGGGGTCAGATGACCAGCCGCAGAACCAATCACGTATGCCATCGGAATATAGAATGACAAGTACGTGTCATGACGAGCGAACTTCCTAACGGAAGTCGTCATACGCCTACCCCACTGCCCTGAGTCTGCAAAAGTAGTAAATTTACTAAAATAGTAAATTTACTAAAATCGAAGAATTTACTAGTAAAATTTACTATTTTTGCAAAATTAGTAAATTTGCACGGGATCAGAAAAACACAGCCAGAACGCCCCAAAATAAGAAGAAACCAATGGAGGGAGTGCATGGGAACATGCATGTCAACGGCAAAAAAAGCTCAGCTTCCCACTTCACAAGTAAGAACGAGCACGCTTGATGGTCCTGAGTCGGGCCTCCTGCTTTGCAAGCACAAGCACCAATATCTGCAAGTCTAACCTACACTGCACATGTCACAAGCAAAAAATTCTGTGTGAAACCCATAAGGCACCGGCAAGCACAAGTCATACGGAGGTTGCCCCGCAAGTAATTTGTCATTTGTTTCGCGAAGCAGCCCGTTCAATCCTCAAGCAACGAAATCCTTGCAACTCATGCGGTGTTCCCTCGAAGCGCCTGCGCCAGCCGTTCTCTCGGTGAAACTAGGGCTTCGTTTCATTCCACAGCTTCTGGAGCCGCTGCATTGTCGCCTCGCCCTTGTAACACCAAACGATGCTTGGGTGAATGCACCTTGCCAACCACAGGGAACGCAAGCAAAAAATGCATTTTCTTGCCAGAGGTCTCGTAGTACTCCTGCAACTGACAGCGCAGTTTGCGCTCTTCTTGCGCTTTTACACGCGAATCCCACGTCACAGATTTACTCGCGCGCTTACTTGCGATCCGAAGACTTGTCGGCGTATTCATCTTTGGTTTTTTGTACGCTTCTGGTTGCCTGTCCTGTGGGAGACATGTGATTGAAGTGCGCTGGCGCGCAACCCTCTTTACTTGTGAGCGACTGATTTCCCTGGCTGAAGCGTGAAGCATTTACATGGGACGCATGTGGCACATGGCAAGCTCATTGGACTTTATTTACAGACATACTTCTGAACGCAGGCTATTGTTGTGGCATTGCGCACAATGCGCAACTTCCGAGGGCAAGCGAAACACGTTCAGTATACTACTCGTCAGATGTTTTTTAAGTTCGAAAGTGTCCTCAGACTACGATATCAACGAACATCGTTTTAGAACACTTCACGTTTTAATCCCCTTACCTGCAACAGCACAACCCTAAAGGACATACAACTTTGTTGCTTGTGCTTTGGATCTCCCCATTTCCGTATTTGCGCTTCAACCAGCAAGCCTCCTAGTTCCAGCATACCTTTCAACCTTGAAGTTTTTGTGCTTTCGAAATCCAATAGACCGGGAGTCGTGTCCGGTTGTTGGCGACTTTGCGTTGTTTTCCCGAAAGCCAGGGTTTTGACCCGTGCTTGAACCTCGCGCATCCCTTACACAAACATATTGTAGGCAAGGGGCTTGGCATGCTTGACTTTAATGATTTCAAGAGTTTGGCCCAACTCTGTGAAACCAACATTGGGCTTGCGCCTGTACTTGAAATGCTTGCGGCTCTCCAATTTTTTCAAAAACTACTTGATGCCACCCTTAAAACTCATCAACCAATAATGCGTCATGGCAGCTTGTGGCTGATTTTGCACGAGCCAAAGCTGAGGCACATGTGAAACCTAAATAGGGGCTAAAAATCGATTTTCTTGACCCTTTTTTGACCCCACACCAAAGCGGCCCAAGGCTGAAAGGACCGCCTGGACCTGTGGGCGACCAAGATGCGACTGGTTTTCTGGCACTGGCGATTTTCAATTCGAATAGCTTGGACCAACTCCATCAAGCCACAGCTACATTTTTGTTCATGTTCGTTGCTTTAGTTCCCAATTTCTACTCATTAAAAAAACACTACATATAGTCAGTGATCAAGAAAAAGTGGTTTTAGCACTTTGGGTTCGGAATTTCAAGAGATTGGCCCAACTCCGTCAAAACACTGAAACCTTTTGTCCACGCCCTACGTTTTGTACTTTTTCATTCATTCATTCAGTCATTCATTCATTCAATCAATCAATCAACCAATCAATCAATCATTCAATCAATCAATCAATCAATCAATCAATCAATCAATCAATCTATCTATCAATCAATGAATCATTCATTCAGCACTCCCCACTCCCCACTCCCCACTCCACAACACTCCACACTCCACACTCCCTACTCCAAACTCCCCTACTCCACACTCCCCACTCCATACTCCACTCTTCACTCTCCACACCCCACACTCCACACTCCACACTCCACACTCCGCACTCCGCACTCCACACTCCACACTTCCACACTCCACACTCCACACACCCCACTCCCCACTCCTCACTCCACACTCCACACTCCACACTCCACAATCCACACTCCCACTCCCCACTCCACA